GGGGGGGGGGGGGGGGGGGGGGGTGTTGAATAGTAGATGGTGCACCAGGGGAATAAAAGAGGACATTCCAATCCACGTGAAGTATGAAATTGATGGGCGATTGGTCACGTACGAGTGGATCCACTGAAATATACTATATACTGGAGAGGGCACTGCAATGCCAGACTCTTAAACGGAAAACGAGCCAGAGAGGAGTAGATTATGGGGGCCACCTCTCTCACTTTCTCGATAAATAAATATTGGGACGTTCTACTTTTTCATCACAGTATTGGAAAGATCAAATAGAGATCAGAAACTCGAGGCATGTTCTTGAATTTGAGGAATTAATTCCTCATGAAATAAAAGTTTATATCATTCAAATATCAACTTTCTGTTTCAGGAATTATATTGGACATACCGAAATTTGAAATTCCGAATACTGAGGACGGTACTGACTCAGGGGATTTCGATTTCCCGTCAGATTAATTGAATAAAGAAGCTGTTGAATTGTATATTCTTATGTATTTTTTCCATGTCAATTTACTCGTAATAGAATTGTAAATACCCCATGTATCAGTATGAATTGGGCAAGAATAAAATTTTCAACTGTCACATGTTATGAGTTTGAATTTTAACAAAAATGACATATGCAACCAAAAAGAACTGAATGCCAATGCTAAATTCTATACGTTGTCCAAGGTAAGAGAATACTTTTGGAGTAGACGGTACGACAGAGACAGGTGGCCCCAAAAATCGACTCTCTCTCGGCTCGCTTCGGGCGGCTCAGTGCCCTTTCCAGTATATAGTACTATTTCAGTCAGTGGATCCTATTTACTAAAGATGAAAGAAACGTGAAGGTGTTTTATATCGATCCTATTTACTAAAGATGAAAGAAACGTAAAGTTGTTTTATATCGAAATATCTCGAAACTGCCTAGCCGCTAATCCTCAATTCCAATTTGTTAATGAGTCACGTGACGTAATCGTCGAAAAAAATCTCCGGAATTTTCAAATTCTTCAAGTGGCAAAAAATTTTTCTGCGTCATATTTTTCATTTTTTCATCTGTGAAGTTTATCTTTACATTGAAACATATCTAAATTGCCTAATTGCTGATCATGAGAAAAAAACAGTATTTCAAAATTTTTTTAACTCACAAATTATTCTTCACTTGACCGACGGCGGTGGCTGTGTGGCTAGAGTATGGGATTTGCACGCGGGAAATCCGGGTTCGATTCCCGGCTGGGGGGGCCAAAATTTGTGACACTAAATCTCACAGTTTCATTGTCGAGCGGGAGTCTCGCAAGAGACGACTATACCTGGGCAGGTTTTTCCCTCAAAAATGAGGTTGTCCCTTGTCCTTCGGCGANGGGGGGGGGGGGGGGGGGGGGGGGAAGAGAACAAATCGTAGACTCGAAAGGGTATACGAGAAGAAAAAAAATTTCCGTCCCGGCGGGCGCAAAGTTACATTTCCCAAAGATTTTTCTCGAATTATTTGAGAAACCGAAGAATTTTCATGAATTTTGAAGAGTTTAGAATTTATGTATGAAAATCTGAGAAGCAAGAATTGATCATTTTTGCGCATGATAGATATGAAAAAATTACAATTTGGGAAATGAAGAATAAAAAAATAATTATTCATTGATGTTTCACTCTTTATTCTCTTAATTCTTTTCAAGACATTATCATTATTTATAAAACATGTATGAATATATGAAGTTTAATAAATTCGAATTCTTCATTTCCACAACGAACAGAGAAGCGCGCGCACAGGCCTAGTTAAAAAAAATTCAGATCTTTCATATTTAATAAAGACACCTACCTGGCCATTATGCGGTCATAATATGCAAAGAAATTTTAACTTTACTTTGAAATTGTATAACGGCCCAGGAAGGTGTTTTTATTATTATTGCAACCGTTCAACAATAACGTAGATTCCATCTACGAACGTAGAGAAGGGGATGTTATCTACGGGCTGGGGACTGGCAACGCGATATTAACATCGCGAACTCAGTAGTTTTGCTTGCATTGCCAACATCGGAATGTGACGTAGTCACGAACGTGTCAATATAAGCGAGCGCGCCGGATGCAGTTGCGATTAAAGAATAATATCTAAGCGATTAAAGATTTTCTCGAAATAGACTTGGGCGTTAGCTGAGTTTTTGAGGAATATCTCCGAATCTAAGGGAGATAACAAAATTTTCGTAATGACCTTTTCTGTAGCGCGCAAGTCGCTCTACAAAAAAGGTCATGACAACAATTTTGCTATCTCCGTTAGATTTCGAGATATTCATTGAAAACGGGCTAATAGTCAAAATCTACTTAAACAGTTTCACTTCTTTGCTAGTGATTTTTTTTTATTGTTTAGATTTTTCGCTCGCTACGCCACATTTCAACAAAGATCAATCTTGTCGTGAAAATTATACCACGCATTACTTCATCTTTGGATAAATAATTATAAATGTTATAACTTATATTACATTTTAGTTTATTCGCCTACCATTCAAGTCAGGTAATTGGCCTCGGCTGTTTGTCTATTCCACCAATAAATAAATAAATCAATGAATAAATAATGCAAAATAAAGTGGGGAACTTCTGGGAAACGGAATAAAAATCTGTCATCAATGCAAATATCATTAATATATAGATGTATTTAACAGAAAATTACGATTACAAATGATCCCATTTATTTTTAAAGAATATTTTTTTATGATTTTCTGAATTCACGCTTGTTCATCTTCCTGTTGTATATCCATGGCCATGGCACAACTTAAATCGAAACTGTACCGCATTTGCGTAAGGGTCATGAAGAATAAGGACCAGGGTCATTTATTCAGTAGCAAAACGATGAAACGATGCAAGTCGACTTGGCTCTTAGCTGTGTTTTCGAAAAATATCTCCGAATCTACGGGAGCTAGCGAGATTTTCATAATAACCTTTTTTACAGCTCTCAATTCGCCCTACAAAAAAGTTGGTAACAAAAAATTTGCTATCTCCCTCAGATTTCGAGATATTCATGGAAAACTAGCCAATAGTCAAAATCGATTCAAGTCGACTTGGCTCTTAGCCAAGTTTTCCAAAAATATCTCGGAATCTGTGGGAGATAGCGAAATTTTCATAATAACCTTTTTTATAGCTCTCAATTCGTCCTACAAAAAAGGTGGTAACAAAAAATTTGCTATCTCCTTCAGATTTCGAGATATTCATGGAAAACTGGCGAATAGTCAAAATCGACTTGTTTTACCGCTTCTTTAATGTATTCTTCCTGGCGAGGACCGAGGAAAACCATGGAAAACCTCGGTCATACAATCATGCTCCATTACTTTTGATGATTAGTCATCACTGGACGCAGCGTAACCAACCGCTGCGCCAACTCCTGCAGCGGTAGCAGTGGCAATTCCAGATCCGAGCACGGTTCCAGTGGCTCCGATACTCTGGCAAATCGCCACTACTGATCCTGCCGATGTGGCAGCTCCACCCAGTGTACTCATCATCCCGGCTGCTATTGTACCAGCTCCTATCCCTGCCGCGCCGAATCCCACAGTTGTGACGGCAGCTGGGGCAAAGAAAACCCCTGCAGCCGCCCCGACTAGAAGGGGCAGGATGGCCTCACAGGATCCGGCGTAGATGGGACGAAAATGATGAATTCAGAGTACACTGAGAGAAAAACGATAAAGTTGTCAAACAAGTCTTACTTGTGCCAAGAAAATCGTTTTTGGAAAATGATTGATGGATTATTCGGGATTGGGACACAATAAATATACACACAGTATTAACTCGTCAAAGATTTATTCAGTGAAGCACGTCACTCGTCTCGCGTCTAGCGTCCAACACGTCTCGTACAGGAATGTACAACCTACACGCCACAACCGGCCGGGGACGAGATCTGCGCAAGCGCACAATCTCGTCCCCTTCTTAGTTTGCACAGATGCATCTTATACTATAGATAATATATTAGTATATTTCGTAACGAGTGCAAAATAGTATATTTCAGCACGTGTGGGGCAATTTCGTCTTTAACGTGTGTGGGGTTTACAGCATGAGCCGAAGGCGAGTGATGTAACCATACACGTTAAGGACGAAATTTTCCCACAAGTACTGAACAAAATTTTATGTCACGAAGCCTGAAACCGGCTGAATTAGACACGAGACGCGAAGCGTCGAGTGTGTAATCCAGCCGGTTTCAGGCATGAGTGGCATAAAAGTGTTTTTTGGCGAGTGGGAGGTTTATATCACGAGCCGAAAGCGAGTGATATAATCCCACGAGCTAAAAAACATTTTTTCACGAGTTACGAACAATATTTTTCCTCACAATGTGGCCTAAAAGTCCACTTTTCGTCACAGCGTGATGAAAATATATATATGAGGACCAGGAGCTGGAGCCATATTCCAACAATGATCAATTATAAAAAAAGTGAAGTGAAAATTATCAAAAAAGGATTTTTTTGTGCCAAACATGCAGAGTGCATCGCAATGAAAAATTTTTGTCGCAAAAATAGATTTAGTAGTTGAAAAAAAATTGCATTCTCTGCAGACGCAAGAAATGTCATTTCTAGCACTACTCCTTCGTTATTCGATACTCCCATACGTATTTTGCTCCCGAAAAATCGTTGTTTTATGCGGAACAAGGGTTATTGGCGGAAACATTAGGGAGCAAAGTTTTCCCCGCATTTTGGTAGTTTTTTGTCACTCCCGAGGCCTCTTCACTCGTCGGGGCCGATTCTCGAAATATTTCCGTGCGCGGAATTGACTCCGTTGACGGAACGCCTATATGATTCCTATACGCAATTCGTCTACGAAGCCACTTCCGTGCACGGAAATATTTCGCAGGCTCAATCTTGTTATTTTTTTACGCGACAAAATCGAAAATACCAACATATCGGACCTATTTCTCCAGATGTTCAATATTAAAATTCAATTTGAGAAATAAATTCAGACAAACTCAAGAGATGATGAACAAAGATATAAATACTGTAGACTAAAAATCATACTTATTTATCGTAAATAGATTTCCACGCGAAATAATCAATTGCAAATCGAGATTGCACCTAAAATTGAACAAAATCTTACAAGTGCTGACGACTATTGATTTTCATCTCTTTATCATGAAGACTTGAACGATCAAAACTCTCGTCCGTAAGATGCAATTTTATTCGTAGAGAATTGCAAATAAAGTTCTTACCTCGGCTTGTTTGTACTCGACTCGTCGGCAGACAAATGGCGAAGTAAATTTGATGTGCTGTTGAGATTGTGGGCTTCCCCAAGCCTTACGTCGGGAGAATCCGGCAACCAATGAGATTAGAGATGCAAATGCGTCACATGACCCGTCATATGACGGTCATGTGACCGTCATTGACGGTCACGTGACGAGGTGTCCATGACGGTTGTCACATTCCCCCTCCCACTTCTGTGACCGACACATTTGTCAAGAAAAAATGAGTCATTTTTCATCTATATAGATGAAACTTTATTTTTCATCACGCTGTGACGAAAAGTGAACTTTTCGGTACGCTCCGCGTGCCTAAAAGTCCGATTTCCGCCACATTGTGATGAAATAGTATATTTCGATACGAGTGAGACAGAATTTTCACGAGTGTGAAGTTAACTAAAGTTAACTAAAGTTAGTTAAATAAAGTTTCATCTATATAGATGATAAATGACTCATTTTTTCTTGACAGATGTGTCGGTCACAGAAGGGGGGGGGGGGAATTGTGACAACCGTCATGAACACCTCGTCACGTGACCGTTTACTAGTAAACGAAAAGACTTTTCGTTTACGAGTAAACGAAAAGGCACTTTTCGACACGAGGTGAACGTAGCAGCAGTGTCAAAAAATATTTCCTCGGGCCACCAACTTCACACTCGTGAAAATTCTGTCTCACTCGTATCGAAATATACTAGTACGTAACTCGTGAAAAAATGTTTTTTGCACTCGTTACGAAATATAATTTTTTTCTCGGTCAATTTTCAGTTGAATTCCTTTTGTATTGGCCTAATCCGCATTTTGAAATGGAAATCACGTTTTTTTTCCATCCATATAGATGAAACTATTTTGTTTTATTCATGACCGTCACAAATTGAAAATTAATTATGACCGTCGTTACGCAACTATATAGATGGTTTGACAACAATTTAGTTACAAATGATTTGTGACAATCATTTGTAGTTGGAAAATTTGTGCGTCACATGACCGTCATTTTTGGTCATATGACGCGATCTAAAAAATGAAGGTCATTTTGCATCTCTAATTCGCGATCGCAACGTAGATGTGGGAGCCATCAAGTGATCTCTCCACTGACTACTCTTGGCGGCCAACCAATGACATTACTGGATTCTCTTTTNTGCGTCACATGACCGTCATTTTTGGTCATATGACGCGATCTAAAAAATGAAGGTCATTTTGCATCTCTNGCATTTTGAAATGGAAATCACGTTTTTTTTCCATCCATATAGATGAAACTATTTTGTTTTATTCATGACCGTCACAAATTGAAAATTAATTATGACCGTCGTTACGCAACTATATAGATGGTTTGACAACAATTTAGTTACAAATGATTTGTGACAATCATTTGTAGTTGGAAAATTTGTGCGTCACATGACCGTCATTTTTGGTCATATGACGCGATCTAAAAAATGAAGGTCATTTTGCATCTCTAATTCGCGATCGCAACGTAGATGTGGGAGCCATCAAGTGATCTCTCCACTGACTACTCTTGGCGGCCAACCAATGACATTACTGGATTCTCTTTTATCTCATTTGTTGAGCTCCATCATTGGTTCCCTCCGAGGGATCTCATTGGTTGCCCCCCAAGAGCAGTTAGTTTAGGGACCACTTGATGGCTCCCACATCTACGTTGCAATAGCGAATTGGATCATCCATTCAGTATCTAGAGTATCTAGTAATTTTTGTTTCTATTTCAAATGACAGATAGTTTTCGCTGTTATCAGCGATCGGTTGGTTATTGGTGGAGTTTATGAACAGATTCTTCAGACTGGACCTAGTATGGCCTGACACCGGCTGGATCTGGCAGTTCCGCCCACGCACAGTCCTCTGTTGCTGGTCAACAAGTCAAAAACGCGTGAAATTTGATTCTACTGTTGCTGTTATGAGTCTGATATTGCAATGGATAACGAAAGCGAGTTATGCGAATCGGTTGAGATCGAGGAGATCAGTGATGGGAGTTATAGACACTCGTTTATTATCTCAAAGTGAGTATGGCTAATCTGTTGGATTTCTTAGAATAGTAGATTATGTTTTATTATGAAGTCCTGTTAAGGGGCGGCGGGGGGGTGGGGGTTGCAGCCTCTGACCAAAAACCAAATACACAAGAGAAAATAAAATAGAAAAAGGAAACAATTTGTACATTTTGTCAATTCAAAAAAAATATGTCACAAGAAAAATCTAGCATTTTTTTCATTAAAAAAATTTACTGAATTTATATTGAAACTCTAGAAGTCGATTAGAGTTCTGTGAATATTCTACAAAATCATTCAATTGGTTTTTTGCATCGTTTCTATTGAAGATTATGTAACTTTGTCATGTCATATTTTTAAAAAACGATTCTAATGAAAAATTAAAAAATGATTATTTACAAAAATTAATCTCTAGATAATATATTTCTCTTCATATTTATCTTCTTATTTTTTGGAAAACCTCCGAATTTTCTCCAATATAGAAAACCCTTCGTTGTAAAATTCACTAAATTTCTAGAAGGAGGTTTAGGATTTTTCTGGAAAGTTCTTGAATTTTCCACAAGTTTCTTCGCAGTATGCAAGACACCCGTCTTTATTTAAATTTTCAAGAGGATTTAAGTTTATTTTGTAAAAATCCCGAGAATTTTTTCGAATTTTCTAGAAAACTAGAGAATTTTTTTGAATCCTTCCTTTCTAAAGACAACACATGAACAGTATATCGAATCGAAAATGAGAACTCGAACATAGCGGATGTCTCGAACGAGTGGAGAAAGTAAGGCGGTTTTTATGAGAACAATCGTCTAGCGTCGAATTTTCATGAAGCTCGCCTAACAAACAAAAGAGAATTGAATACCTTTCTATGAAACATGAATAAACGAATCATAATTGTCCAAATCATTTAGGTCAGAGGAAAATAGAATAATTCTACTTTCTTAATATTGCGTTTACTAAGGTTTTCTTCGAACAAAGTTGATTAGAATTAATAGCTAGAATTATGAGATTATCTCACATTTTTGACGTTAAGAATAGGAGAATCTGAATGCCATATAGTGAAAATGATGATCGATTTTTTCACTTTGAACAAATAATATTAATATCCAAATACAAAATTTCTGATATGAATAAAACGAAGCTGTCACTCAATATTCCAAATGAAATTTTAATTTTTAATTTGGTGCTGATAACACGAGATGACAATATTCTAAGCACGGAATTATATTGATGAGATGAACAACAGATTAATTGAATTACCGTGTGAAGTAACTAAAAATTGATGACAGTGGGGGCACGCACTTTTACCAGAGTATCAACAAACATTGAATTCCAGAAATTCACACTCTAAAGTGTGTTCTAGAAGGAATTTAATTGTAATTATGATTCAAATCTTATTCAGTGAGCGTAGGAATTAGAGCAGGAACATGAGCAAATCATTTATTGCAATATGAAAATTTAACAGCTGATAAATTGGGACATATGACTTATACTTTTTGCAATAAGAATGATTATAAACAATTAAGACCCGGGTGTACTGTCTTTCGAATGTTAACTGGATTTTTTTTATCTTTCGTAATCCAAAATTGTCAATTGAGTTGTACATCATGTAGAAATTCCCAAAAATTATGATAGAATGATAAAAAAAAATAGAAAAAATTCTCAACTTTTTCAAAGAGAGTTTTTAATTGAGATTCAGAATGAGTTGAAAAAAGTGGAAATTACAAATATCTGATTCGCTGTGGCAAATTATCTATTAGCTGTCATTTTCCATGGTGGATAACAAAACACTAACTACTCATGGGAAGTGACAGCTAGGTATCTCAATTTTCAAAACAGTAGTATGTAGTCATCTGCCATTTTTATGTGATAAAAGTGTGATTAAAAAATTCTCCAAAATATTACAACTTTTTTCAAAGAGCCTTTTCCGTAATAAATGTCTCTGTGGAGTGTGGAAAAAGATTGACGAAATCAGTCTTCCCCCTGCATGATATTGGGGACAGGCCGCCATTTTTCAATGTCTTGTTATTCAACTTATTCTGAATATAAATTAAAAATGCTCTTTGAAAAAATTGAGAATTTTTCTACTTTTTTTTATTATTCATTCATAATTTTTCAAAACTTCTGCATGATGCAGGACTTAATTGACAATTTCAGATGACGAAAGATGAAAAAAAAACATCGAGATAACGTTCGAAAGATAGTACACCCGGGCCTTAATTGAAAAAAGGAATATCGAATCTGACAGGAAAAAGGGCATCAACGGGGTGGCGTTAGTTAACAAAATTTGTGATTCTGCTTCAGAGCGTTTTACGGATTTATATTCGGTCGACTGGATACCATAAAAGACCTGCAGTCAGAGACGAATACAACGATACCTCTGCCGGATTCGAGGAAGTCATGGTCCGGGGATGTTTGTATTTTAGGAAGCAGTCGAGAGGAGATAATCACCTGCAGGGAGAAGATCCATCGAATAGCCGAGGACTCCAGGAAGAACATAAGGTACACGCACTTCGTGTCGATTCCCCTGAACAATGACGAGTTCAAGGGGAATTACAAGGCGTTTCGGGAGCAGATCCTCAGGGATCCGACGAGGGAAATTCATGGGATCGTTGATGAGATGTTCGTGGGAGGGAACAAGCTGCATTTGACTGTTGGAATGCTTCTCCTGTTGGATGATGAGGAGAAGAGGAAGGCTGCTGAGACACTGGAGAAGTGTGTGGAGGACGTTGTCCAGTGGGTGAACAGCCTCAATTTATTTATTCTCTGAATTAATCTGTTTTTCATAATATATAATTAATTTAAGGGGAGACTACTATGAGTTTTAAAAGTCGTGGGTTATTGGAGTGAGACTTNATCTGAAAACGAATAATTAGTGCAAAAAAAAATTTTTTTATTGTTCGTTTGCCCGAAAACGCTTCAAATGCCAAAAACAGTCCAGGGCCTCCAATTTTTGAGCTACAAGGGATTTTTTTTTACAAAATTTTCAGAAAAATATGTGGAATAACAATTACGAGCTTTTTCTTTAAATTCGCCACTTACATAGCTAAATTTGCTTTATTGTATTTTTTTACACAAATAGTGAATTTTTTTTATATGAAAAAAAACGAAATCAATTGTGTAGGAGTCGAATTCCAAAAAATTGGCTCGTAATTGTTGTTCCACACATTTTTCCGAAAATTTTGAAAAAAAAAAATCTTTTGTAGCTCAAAAATTGGAGGCCCTGGACTGTTTTTAGCATTTTTAGCGTTTTCGGGCAAACGAACAATGAAAAAAAATTTTTTTTGCACTAATTATTCGTTTTCAGATGTATATAATCGATCTTCAACGTATGAAAAGTCTCACTCCAATAACCCACGACTTTTAAAACTCATAGTAGTCTCCCCTTGAGAAGTTCTGATTAATTTTCTTGATTTTCTATTTTTGGGGCAGGCCTATTTTAACGAGAGAAACAGAGCCGATAAGATTGAAAATTGAAGGACTGGAATGCATGAATAGTAATCCTGCCAAAGCGTCGATTCTGTATGGTCGAGTTGAGGAGAACAGAATTTTGCAGGAGTTGGTGGATAAAGTGTTTGGATATTTCATAGAAAAAGGTAGATTTTTTATCGGAATAAATTTTCGGAGAAAATGCTGAGAATTCTGGAGATGAAACAATTCAAGTCGAAGAAATACGGGATTTTTATCTGAATTTATTTATTCATTTTAATCTTTATTTATTGTTAGATATTGCACTTGAATAAAAGATATTAGACATGTTTTTTTTAAATAAAAAGTTGATTCATTAAAACTTATTAGTTGCAATTAATTAATTAATTAATTAATTTCAATTAATCTTCAGCTCATTTATTAATTCATTCATTGTTTTTACGCAATCAAAAACGTTTGCATTTATTTTTAAAAAATTGAGAAATATCTCTCTAATATTTTGCATTAAATTCTAGTTTTTCATAATTTTATTTTGTAAAAAAAATCGTGCAACAGTCGAATTACCTGATCTCCATTGGATTCTCTTAAAAACACATCATCATCACAAAAATAGATTACTGGGACTATTTTTTATTTCAACATTAATCACTGGCCTTGTCATTTTTTTAGGTTTGATGAAGTCTCAATACGATAATAAAGTCAAGTTGCACATGACTTTGATGAAGACTAGTAGATTACGCGGGAAAAGTAAGAAGCATCAACGTCAGAGGACGTTTGATGCTACAAAGATATTAGAAGTAAATTGAAAAAGTTTTTTAAACGACGAGTATTTGTGTAATTATAAAATGATAGATTTATTTTTTATGATTTGTTATTTACATTTCAGGATTTCGGTAATTACGAATTTGGAGAGACAACACTGGATACTCTTCACATTTGCGAATGCAGTACAGATGTATCAGATGGGAGTTATCCCATTCTCACGAGAATAGATTTAATTTATTGAGATTCGTTCATAGTGTAAATTTTTGTAAAAAATAATGTTGAATAAAAAATATGAATTTTCATTTCGTCGAGATGAATGAAATGGCTGGGAAATTGCTTTTGTCACAACATAGTCCATGAATTTCTATGGGGATATACATTAAATTGAATTCAATGATTCATTGAATTCAATATTGTCCCGACGTTGGCAGCCAACATTATCTCAATACTCACCGCCAACATTACCCCAACGTCGGTAGCCAACATTGTCCCAACGTTGGCACCCAACATTACCCCAACGTCGGCAGCCAATATTACCCCAACGTCGGTAGCCAACATTGTCCCAACGTTGGCAGCCACCATTACCCCAACGTCGGCAGCCAACATTACCCCAACTTCGGTAGCCAACATTGTCCCAACGTTGGCAGCCAACATTACCCCAACGTCGGCAGCCAACATTACCTCAAAGTCGGTAGCCAACACTACCCCGACGTTGGCAGCCAACATTACCCCAACGTTGACAGCCACCATTACCCCGACGTTGGCAGCCAACATTACCCCGACGTCGCCAGTCAACATTACCCCGACATTGATAGCCAACATTATGCCGACGTCAGCAGCCAACATTGCCTCAACGTTGGCAGGCAACATTGCCCCAACGTTGTTAGCCAACATTTCCCCAACGTTGGTAGCCAACATTACCCCGACGTCGGTAGTCAACATTGCCCCAACACTGGCAGACAATATTATTTCAGTGCTGATCGCCAGCATTGCCCCACCATTGACATCCAACCCCAAAAATTACTGTAAAAATGGTAAAATTGCAATCGGTTCTCAAAGAATAATCTTCTCCAACAGCTTCAACAATTGTTATTATTTATTTATATGAAGTAAATGTTTAAAAAAATGTTTTTTGCAAAATGTCATTCAACCGTTGACAAATCTTAGTTCACCAATTTCTCATTCACCATAAAAAGCATATGAAAATTACCAAAAAAATGGTTTTCCTCGTATTAAAAAATGTTTAATATTTCGGCGGTAAATTCAAAACTTTCAGTGTCCTCTACCATTCACTATCAGCACCGACACTTCAACGTTAGCACCATAAGATGCCACTAGTTTCCAATTTACAAACAAAAATCGACGATAATCTCGCACAGATGTTATGTTGACATTCGTCCATTCATTCGTGCTTTTTTTTTTTCAACTCAGGGCAGAAAATCGAGGGGTGAGGATCCAGTCGCCGCTGAAATGTCAGTCCGGCATGGCTGAGTGTCGACTCTCGCCGGAAATCGGTATTTTTTTTTTGTCCATGAAGAAAAAAGTGAAAAAGTGGGAAAATAATTACATTCTTATCTTATCGATTTCGGCCATATTCAAACACCGAGCGTAATATTTATGCGGAAACTAGGAGTTTTTAGTGCAATAGCATGGTCGATGCACGATTGTCGTTATTCTGTCGATAAGTACGTATGCAATTTTTTTGTGTGAATTAGGGAATAAAAATATTGGGTTTACAACCGAAGAGAATTATTTTTCATGATTATTTATATTTATATTTTTTTTACTAACGAACGGGCGCTTCGCGCCTGTAATATAATATGTTATATTATATTATATTAATTTATTTTATTGTTTTCTTTCCTATTTTTATTTGTGGTTAGATTAAAAGTTGTTGTGTACAAATTGTGGGAACAGTTTTTCTCATTTTCAAATGAAGAGATATTTATGTTAAATAATATCAGTATAATCTAATAATTCCTCAATGAAATCAGATCATGAAAATGAAATTTTTCGTTTTCATGATCTGATTTCATTGAAAGGAAATGCGAAAAATGCAAGGACAGATGGTCAGCAAGAAAATAAAAGAAAACGATTTTTTAATTTTCAGAAAAATTTCAAAAGTGATTTTGTTTAATTAAAAAATATCAATATGTTCCCTTTCTATGATCTAATTTCAATGGAAGAAAGTGAAAAAAAACAGAGATACGTGATCAGCAAGAAAATAAAAATTTCGATTTTTCAATGTCCCCGGAAAGTTTTAAAATTTATATATTTTTCCAAATAATGAAAGAATACCCATCAATTCAATTTCTATCCTCACATTTTGATAGAATACATTAAAAAATAGCAAAGAATAAAAATGGCAGATGAAAAATTTTATCGGATTAATATAATGGAATGTTTCATTCTCATTGTTGATATGTTCAGTGTATTTCGCTTTAGTTTCTATTTATATGTCCTCGGGCAATTATTTCAAAAGCGTTGGGAAATGGGGATTGCTATTGATGTCATCTTTAGAAATCAATTGATATTTGTGTTGTCTCATTGAAATGCGACACGTGGAAACAATTATTCAGTATTTTTGTTTTGAAAATGAAACAAAATGTTATTGTCAAAATTTCCCAGGGAAAGGGTATTTTTGGAGAAACATTCTCTTTGAGAGAAAGAAGTTCATGATTTTTTTAGACAAAATAGTTTTTCTTGTGCAATTTTCCGGAAAGATCATTGTTTTTCACCTGAAAAACATGAATTTTTCGGACAAGTAGATTTTTCGCAGTGATTTTCCCCGCCAAAACTATTTTTTTCTGCGACAATCTAAGTTTTCGTTAAATTTTTGCTAATGAAATTTGCTCTTTCAATTTTCCCGAAATTTTTTCTCCAAGGTTTTTCTAAAAGAAGAAATTTCTCACTATTTTTCCTGTCAAAACAACATTTTTCCCGAATTGTTAAATTTTTCAGAAAAATCACTTTTCCAATTTCCTCAAAGAACGTAAATTTTCCTCAAAGAGAAATCTCTTTCTCATTAATTTTCCTTGTACAATCTTTTCTTCCCAAAAATTCTTTAATCCTCGCAAAATCATCACATAATGACTCACCGAATTAATTTTATTCAATTAATTAATCATTGATTTGACTTAATTAATCAACCAATTAATTTATTTTTTTGCTGTTCAATTACCAAATCATCACATGATGATTAATCAGTCAATGATTTGACTTTATTAACTAACTAATTAATTTCAGTTGCGAGGCGGTAAAACAATTCAAATCAACTTAGCTCTTAGCTGACTATTCGACGAATGTCTCCGAAGCTAAGGGAGATTGCGAAATTTTTGTAATTTGCGCCGAAATTCCAGGCGAATTCGTCACCTGCTGAACTCCAGGGTATTTGCATATAAAACGAGGGGGAGAGAATAAAAATTCATAAATCGATACCTTTTCTTCGCGATAAATTGTTTTCCTTAATGACCTTCACTTTTCCCAGTCCCGGGATTGGTATTGACCCTTTGCCTAACTGGCAAAAGTGAAAGTCACTACGGAAAACTATCGTTTGCGCCTAGTGCCCTGGGGTTTTCGACGAGTGTGATTGCCACGCCTGGCCTTCGGCTCGTTGCCAGCCTCACACGAGCCGAAGGCCAGGCGTGCCAATCACACTCGTCGAAAACCCCAGGGCACTCCGACGCCGGAATTAGGACTACCTGCTACCNGAATCGCTCAGTTAGAACCCCTTTACGTCTGGCCACTTTCCTCTAAACACAGACCTCCAGGGGTCGCGGTTTCACCCATAACCGCTGTGCCTTCGGTCTTTCATTGGTCTGTGGCTCTTCTCATCTAGTCGCGGCTTTCTTCAGCCGCCTCTAAATGTCACTACCTGTCTCTCTTTTCAATAATTTAAGAGTTCACATATTTTTTTAAGGGGTTTACAACCCGTAATGAGAAAATCTCATTACAAATTAATATAATTATAAAATTATTGCACAGGCCGGGAGTGGAATTCTCAGTACGATGAATTTCACAATGCTAACAATTTGTTTTACCACGCGAGTGACTACTACCGCCACCATCGGAACCAATGTGAACTACATGCTGCTTCACATGATTTCAGGGGTCCCACCAGCCTCTGTTTGGCCCATAGCCATATAATACATAGACTACGGGTTCGGGTGGTGGGAGCTGGAAGAAATAGAAAAGGGGCGCCGTTTTGTCGATGGTTTCTCTCTTTGTCGAATATTTCTCAGAGTGGAGCAAGAATGGTCACGGAGTGGGGGATATGTTTACTATGCAATGGCGACTATCCCCCTCTACGGCACCGTTCGACACTCTCTGTCCGTTTCGTGCTTTTTTCAATACACAGGAGGGATAGGGAACCCGCAGTCTATGTATTATATGTCCATGGTTTGGCCTCCTTCCCTCTATTCTCCATCGTAAGACACTGTTGGCAATTCCTGGGATGCGAAAAATAAGAATTCGAGTTGCCCTGCCAACTTAATGGCTCAAGTCTGACCGTTTTCGTTCAGAAGATAATGGGAATATTGAACGAATTAAATTAATAATTGCATCAGTGGAAAGCGGATTGGTAATTTATATAGGGTAATTGAGGACTGTTTTCGTCTAAGTGGGCGCATTTTTTATTAATTGATGAAAAATCAGTTGAGGGTGGTGGAAGTGGGAAGTTGTGTCGTGTACAGATACCCGGTAGCTTTCGTCGTTTTGTTGTGAGGTTAACAGGCGCGACTTGGCCGATACGCTACCGCGTATCTCGATTTGTAATCGCGTACATTCAGTAGCGAAGAGGTAAACCGGATTAATCGATTTTGACTTTTATTCAGCTTTTAATGAATATCTCGGAATCTAAGAGAGATAGCTAAATTCTTCTCATGACCCTTTTTATAACCTTCAGTTCGCTCTACAAAAAAAGTCATGACAAAATTTTTTTCATTCTTGGGATTCCGTTATAGATTTTTGTATCCATCGTAGGGAACCACGTTGCATTTTTGGGTGTGACTGACCGACGGTCAGGGAACACGTGCCAGCAAATAGTTGAGCGGTCGATGGACTGATCGTTCGAACTTCAGCGGATTGCAGGTTGTAGGTGGGTCAACGTAACGTGACTCGGGGATACCTGGGCTATGTGAAGCAGTAGATACTGTGTGAGCCTCCTCAGAAGAATAGATATTGAATGAGCTACTTGCAAAAAAGTAGGCATGGTTAAAGTATATTTGTAAATGCTGAACGAGCTACTTGCAGAAAAGTAGGCATTGTTCGAGAAGCAAAGGCTAATGAATTCTAGCAGGGGATCTGGACACGCGAGTCGGGATAATTTTCCATTACGTAGATCACAATCGCTTGATTCAATAGTGCCAGGAGCCGGACAGGAACTTGCGGGAATATTGCAAGGAATTACCTTCAGAGCAAGGTGGAGTTTGACAGATCGGGATTAGTCTGGGGAAAATATACCACGAGTAAGACAGCAACGGATGGTAGATGCACTTGGTGATTTTTGAGTGAATCTGCGGAGACATTATTCATTCAATTCGGACGATAGTTTATCCGACATAGATATGAATTCACCTCACGGATTAAGAGACGCCATCAGTGCTGAGAAAGAACGTATGCGGAGAAATTTCGAAAGATGATACGGAGGCAATAACTAAGGCGAGAATTTGGGAGCTGTGCATGGATTAGCGAACAATGTATCACCTGAAAGACCTACGAGACGTCATGATCAGTTAAGGATTTTCTACATGCACCATAGCGGGGGGGTGTGCGGGTGTGGAGGGGTATGACTTTCGTAAGTGTTCCAATCCCTGAACACGAAAAAATCGAGTTTTCAATTACGTCGTTGAGGTGCTATTTGGCGACTTTACTGGGATTAATATTTTTTTAATATCATATATTCATCATGGCAATACGTCAATTGCATTAGAAATTTTTTATGATTGTATTTAATAATTGTTAAATAATAAAAATTCAGTCCGGAACAGAGGCAACGTCGCCCACTAGAAAATTTCGTCAATTACCACATTCCCTGAAATTATAAATAAATCCGTAATTCACAACAACAAAAACACGAACAAAATTCCCCGCTGACCTCTGTTAATTCCCGGAACTCGATAATTATCCGATAAACCATGATAAATTAAAAATATTTTTCAAAAACAAAATAACAGGAAAACATCTTAATTAAATAACGAGCGAACTACATATTCTCGCGGGATCTGCGTGCCACCTGTCTAAACAACTAACAATGACCCAACGTATTCCGATTGATCCTCATGTCTGTTGAATTCAGAATCAACTCGTGTAATTGGAATTCTCTGCAGTTGTTGTGACGTCACAGAGCAATTTTTATCGGGAACAAATGAACTCTTATCTCTAAGAACTCTTCCCAGCTCTCGTTGTATCGAGGCTAATTGAATGGGAGTCATAAAAATTGGATCTCTAGAGGGGGAGAGAGGAGCATAATAATAGATGCTATCAGTAATTAAAGATCGAAGATAGAATTTTTAATTAATTCTTCAACTCTTGTAATAAAGCAATTCTTGATTTATCTGTCGGGGGGTTCTCAAATGGATTAATTCGCTATTGACAATTGTTAATTATGCAATTAGCATTTGCTTCTAAATTCAATGTTTATTTAAACTAAATAAATGGGCCCATTAGCTTAACCTTGATTTTTATTTGCGTTCTTCCAAATTGAAAAAAATATTCTCTTCATCTAAATAAATACTTTATCTATAAATGTAATTATAACTCTACTGCAATGACCTGTCCTTCAGAATGAATTAATTATTTATATTTCGTATAATTAAGAGGTCTCGGAAGTAAATAAAAACCACTGAAATGCAAGAAAAACTTTGCGCTATGAATTCTCAGCCGAAAGGGAATGCAAAAATCTGAAGGATTGCTTGAAAAATTTGTTCCTCTTCTAGCAACTGGACGAAACGAGTCCAAAAATTTTCAATTAATTGGGTGTCAAACCGTAGCTGTAGCACCAACAAATAACAAATGATATTCTGTCCCCAATTAATTACGCAGTTTACAGATGCAGAGAAGTCCAAAATGCACGGAGTGAAGCGGGTTCTGATTTTCTGTCTTCTCACAACGTTCATGCCAATATTTCTATTGGTAATGCCGCTTTATTTGAGACACAGTTTGTACGCTGACGTAGTTTATGCTGTCACTGAGTCGGATATCATGGAGATTAATGATGGAGTGTCAACAATGTTCTGCTCCGTGAGTTAAAGAATCAGATAAAAACTAATAACTAGAAGAATTACAACTGGAATGATTTCTCTGGATTCTCGAGAAAATGTGAGAAGACTTTTAATCTGGAAAATTTAATTCTTCGCAAAAAATTTCTTCTGACATTTTTCGATAGAATCACCTATTAGTGAGATAAGTACTTAATAATTAAGGAGTCTCAAGTTCTATTAATTCAATATTTTATTGAAAGAAACAGTAATGAAACCAAGGGTAATCCCGTGAGGGGATTCGAACCCACAACCTTCAAATCACCAACTCGCTACTCTAACCAACGTAGCTATCTTGGATTAATTAAGAAGAGTCTAATTTAATCATATAGACATTTGGTATAAAAAATCCTCAAGTGGAATTTGAGAATATGAGAACAAAATTGTCAAAAGAAAAAACCATAGTATCACATGAATATAAAAACGATCTAAAGAAATTTTTATTCTAAAAAGCTGAATGGACCCAATTTGGAGCCTGGACGCTATGAAAAAAAAAAATTGAAAGAAAAATAAACTTTTTGTCGTTTTATAGTCATCTGTTAATGTTTTTGGTGAATAGAAATGCCCCAATTGCCTCGAGTAAATTAAAGTTAAACTGTTTTCATCCGCAGGCCCACACACTCCAGATGAACAGCACCTTCAACGCCTTCCAAATGGGTCATAAACCCGAAGTGACATCCTATCGCAAGCACATAAGACTGAAGAAGAGTATGACCTTGCCCGACGATACACTTGAGTACTGGGGCTTTTATCTCCTTCGAGGAGCGACTGTGGCACTTTCTGTTTGCTCAAAGTAAATGATTCATTCGTATTTACCGAAAAAATTGCAGTTATCAGAGTGAAAACAGAGGGAGGATGAATGAAGTGTCGCGTTGAATAAATTTTAAATAGCGGAAATCTACAGATAAAGAGGGAATCATGACTTCTTATCAGTAAACTTCAATGGGATTATCATTTCAGTGAAGCAAATGGAGGAATTGATCCTGTAGAAAAATCTAAAAAGATGAAATTTGTAAGAAAAATTAGGGTATCTTTCTGTCGCTTCAATTATTTTAATTTTTTTCTGGTTTATTCAAGAAAAGCTTCCTTTCCTTCATTAACATTTCAAATGTGACAAATTTTATACGTTTATGAATGGATTATAAAAATGAATGATACATAGAAAAAAAAAATCAATCAATGATAAAGATGAATGATGAGTGAAAAATTGATGAATAAATATGAATTGTTGATCAATTTCCTTTTACATTTCAAAGTGGCCCTGTCAATACCCGTGATTGCTGAAAAATAAGGGAAGTGTTGTGAATCAATTTTCTAGAAAAATGACCAATTTGTGAACAACATTGGCCCAACATTGTCAGGCAACATTGGCTCAATATTGACCGCCAACATTGTCCCAACATTGGCCCAACGTTGGCGATCTACATTTCCCCAATATTGGCTGCCAACATTGACCCAACATTGCCCCAACGTGGGCAGCCGATAGTGTGCCAACATTGAGCCGACGTTGGCAGCCACCATTGCCAGAACATTGACCCAACCTCGGCTGCCAACGTTGGGTCAATGTTGGGCCAATGTTGGCAGTGGGCATTGGCCCAACATCGACCCAACGTTGGCAGCCAACATCGGCCCAACATTGACCCAAGGTTGGCCCAACATTGGCCCAACGTTGGCAGTCGACATTGCCCCAACATTGGCTGCCAACAGTACCTTAACGTTGGCCGCCAACAATTCCCTGAAACTTTCATTTTTCACCGACCGAATACACCTCGAAATTGGGAATTTACCCCCTCAAAAGCTCTTGAACCTCCAAAAAATGCCCAATAAGTTTTTCATTACAAAAACAAACGCAAATGTCATCGCAACTCCGAATTTCTCCCCCAAAAGAATATCTCCCGAAATAACCATAAAAAAATCATAAACCCGAATGTACAAAACGATTAAAATTCCAAACAGGTCCAAAGGTGCATCGATCCTCGTGGTGAAAGGCCAGAGGACCTTGAGCACATGTGGCCTCCTGGACCACAACGAGAACAAAGCCCGTAAAAACGGTATATTCCTCTCGTCAGGACAAAACCAGGTGAAGATCACTTTCGATTCAAACGCCCAGTTGATAGAGTCGAAGGAGACTCCCCGAGTGTCGCCAGGGAATCCCGCACTCCAGGAGCCCCAGACCACGGAGAGGACCTCGAACCATTCCCAGGACCTCCAGATCTCGGCAGCCAGTCTCAGCCGCCTCAGCCCCTCCGTCCAGTCCTACATAACTGACCTCATCACCTCTCACGACTCCAAACTTCACAAGAATGAGAACAAGAACGAGAATTTCGGGTCTGAAAGGAGAGTGAGACACGCGAGGAAGAGGTTTAGTGAGAAGATCCATGAGAGAGATGAGGTTGAAGAGGATCCATCGGAAGTTCATGGGAAACCGTCGGAGAGGCCGATCAGGACACGAAGATGGGCGAGATCTTTCGAAAAATCTTCGACACCCTCTCCCGTTGTTGAATCGACAACTCAGAAGGACTACTCCTTCGAGCGGATCAGGGACTACGTCAGGAAGCTCAACCCAAAGGCCAAGAAATCACTGTTAGCCCGGCAGAAGCTCGAGCTCCTCAAGTACCAGCTGGAGACCCCGGGGATGGACATAGCAGCCGAGGAAGACAGCAGGGGTGAGAAGATCTACATCTCCCACAAGTACAAGCCCCCGAGGACGACTCACAACGTCGTGAAGAGGAGTCAAGAGCCGGTGAAGCCTCCAGCGCTGCTGGATCGAGGGGTCAAACACGGGGGCAATGCCTTCAACAATCCTGAGGGGGACGAGTCGTCCTTCTCGTCCTTCGAGGAGGGCCTCTTCGACTGCTACGAGGGGAACATTCTACTGGCGAGCAAATTCCCTCCGACTAGTTGCGAAAGCACCGATGATCTTCTCAAAGCTGGAGGCATGCACATGCAGACACATCACAACGTCACGGAGGATGGATATTACTACTATATTTTCTACAGCGACAATGACTCGGGCTCCAATGATATGCACGCTGTGTTCGACATCTGGAAGCCAACTTTTCAGTATGAGAACGTCACCAAGAGCTGCGTCAATGTGACGGACTGCACATTTCCGTTGGAGATCATGTCTGATGATAGGGTTATTGTGGAGATTCCGACGAGGGATGGGATTGAACATGAGGCTGATGATGTTTCGTTGCTGGTCTCGGTCTGCCATCCTAGGGTTGGATTTTATGTGATCTTTCCTATTGCCGTTCTGTTGTTCATCTTGAGTTGTGCGTTTTTGTGAGGGCTGATGGTGGGGGGTTGGGGGAGTATTTTTGCTGCAGCAGTACGAAAAGTTGGATTTTACTGCCGAGGACGTCAAATCGGTTTTTTGTCATTCTAAATTCGCAGCAGTACGAAAAGTTGGATTTTACTGCCTAGGAAAGATCGGGTTTGCATCACGGATGAATAGATTTAATAGAAAACCAGCGAATTCGTTAGGAAATTTTATTGGATTTCTATTGAAATTTCTATTATTTTTCGGACGATTCTATTGAGATATTTTCTATAGAATTTCCTCGGCTCAAATTTTCCAAATTTTTTTGTTTGATTTTCTTGATGAGAAGAAAAGAAAAATGAAGTGAAAAAAATTGGAAAATTTGAACCAAGGAATTACTATAAAAAATATCTGAAGAGAATCAGTTATATAAATAGATTAAATTTTACTGCCTTTTTGTATTGATTATTTTCTATTGAACATTTCAATAGAATCGGCCGAAAACTAATGGAAAGTTCAATAGAAATCCAATAGAATTTTATAACAAATTCGCTAGGTTTTTCTACTAAATTTTTTCGCGCGTGCTGCCTAGGACGTGAAATACAATTTTTCGTCCTAGTACGTAAAACATCTGTTTTGAGTGATAAAAATTCTTGAAGATTCTGTTTTCTTCGGCCATCATCGCAGACGCGACAGCACTTTCCATTTTATTTTTACAATATTTTAGTTTAGTCTCTAATCTCGTACAAATTCGCGTAAGTCAGTCGTAATTAAAATGAGAACAGGAATGAGTGGACAATATATGGATGATTATTTCTAAGTCATCGACGGTTGTAATTGTACATATACCTCAAAAAATTTCTATTTTATATCTAAGAATGTTATGTGAATACTAGAGTCTATGGGAGCTACTTATGAAATAAAAAAGATTCACGAAAAAGCCATTTTTAATAAAGTTTTATATGTTACGAATTTTTTCTCTCACCCGTGAACTTTTTTCATTCATCAGTCTCCAGAACCTTCCAGCAATCTCCACGATTGGAAAAATGTAATAGAAAAACCTAGCGAGTTCCCTAGACAATTCTATTGAATTGCTATTGAATTTTCTATGAGTTTTTGGACGGAATGTTTAATAGAAAATATTTAACGGAAAAAGTCAATAGAATTCAATTTTTCTATCCAACTTATTCCATTGAGATATTTTCTATTAAAGTTCCTGGAATCGAATGTTTCAAGTTTTGTTTTTGATTTTCTTGATGAAAAGCAGAGAAAAATAGCATGAAAAAAACTTGGAAAATTTGAGCCGAAGAAATTCTATACAAAATATCTTAATAGAATAAGTTATGTAGATAAATCGAATTCTATTGATTTTTTCTGTAAAATATTTTCTATTGAACATTTCAATAGAATTGTCTACCGAATTCACTAGATTTTTCTATTACATTTTTCCATTCGTGGAGATTGCTTGATCCAATTTGAACGATTATAAACCCTCATGGAAAAATAGATGAAAAATATATATAAAACCAGTTATCGACCTGAATTTCTTTTGTGGAAGCTGCACTCCCAGCCAATCCGCTTCATGCAAAATTTCATCAAAATTCATCGAGAAGTGTTTGAAATACATAAATTTTCCCGAAATCGTTTTTTCCTTACAAACTTCGACGCCATTCATGGGATAGATAGCCCTCGATAAAATATATTTTTGAGAGTTTTGAGCATCATCGGTAACATTAGCATGATCAACATCATCGCCGTCATCAAGATCATCAACATCGCCAGCGTCATCAACAACATCTCCATTACAATGATCATCAACATCACCAGCACTATCAGACGCACTAATATCATCACCATCATCAACATCATCAAAAAAATCATCATCATCATCATTCAAGCGATTTCTCTTTTAGATGTATAGGAATAAACGTGTGACATTTCCTTTTTATAAAAGATAAATCAATCGATGATTGATGATGATGACGATAATGATAACGATGATGATGATGATGATGATGCTAATGATGATGATGACGATGATGATGATGATTGTGATTCTAATGATGATAATATTAATGATGATGATAATGATGATGATTTAGATGATGATGATCGATGATTGTGCCGAGATGTTTCAAAAACGTAACATTCAAACCTTCCCGCGCTCTCCCCTCCCGCTGCAATGCACCATGGCGTCATCAAGATCATCAACATCGCCAGCGTCATCAACAACATCTACATTACAATGATCATCATCAACATCATCAGCACCATCAGGCGAACTAATATCATCAACATCATCAAAAAAATCATCATCATCATCATGCAAGCGATTTCTCTTTTAGATATATAGGAATAAACGTGTGACATTTCCTTTTTATAAAAGATAAATCAATTAATCGATGATTGATGATGATGACGATAATGATGATGCTAATGATGATAATAATAATGATGATGATAATGATGATGATGATCGATGATTGTGCCGAGGTGTTTCAAAAACGTAACGTTCAAACCTTCCCGCGCTCTCCCCTCCCGCCGCAGTGCACCATGGCGTCATCAAGATCATCAACATCGCCAGCGTCATCAACAACATCTACATTATAATGATCATCATCAACATCACCAGCACCATCAGGCGCACTAATATCATCACCATCATCAACATCATCAAAAAAATCATCATCATGCAAGCGATTTCTCTTTTAGATATATAGGAATAAGCGTGTGACATTTCCTTTTTATAAAAGATAAATCAATTAATCGATGATTGATGATGATGATGATGATGCTAATGATGATAATAATAATGATGATGATAATGATGATGACGATGATCGATGATTGTGGCGAGGTGTTTCAAAAACGTAACATTCGAACCTTCCCGCGCTCTCCCCTCCCACCGCAGTGCACCATGGGTACCCCACGCGCCGCCCCCGCCCCTCCCGCCAAAAAGTCCCCCCCACGATCCCAGACCCCCTTAAATCTCCAGAAACCCCCCCCCAAAACCCCCTCTCGCTCCCGGCCCCGTCAAACCCCCATGAAACCCTCGTCGAACTCAAAATCCCTCATTCAAAAAATTCCCCGAAACCTCCTCCCACTCCCCTCCCTCAAAATAACCCGCGCGCGCCGCCAGCGCCGCCCAGCGGTTGCCCCTCGAGTGATCCCAGTGACGCAATAGGAATTCGTCCTTTCCGTCGCGCAACTGTGAGTGGAACATGTCGTATTCGTCTGAACGAAGGTAAGTTTCTCCTCATAATTACGAAAAAAAAGTCGATAAAATTTCCCGGATCATCGAAAAATCCCGTTCAGCGGTTCCCTGAGCGGTTCCCAACGGCAAACAATCGTGAAAATCAACAATTGAAGGATTAAACGTGATAATTAATTTTCACCATCTCCGCCAAACTGACGGGGTTCTCGCACGCTGACAACATGGCGTGTGGCTCGATTTTTTGTCAAACTCCGGGGGTGATTAAAATTGGCGGTAGATACCACTCCCACCTTCCGCCTCCCCTCGCCCAGCCCACTTTGTTTTTTTTTTTGAGTGGGAGGAAATTTTGGGGGAGAATTTTTATTGATTTTTTTTTTCGTGATTTTTGACACGTGCTCGGGCAACCGGATGTGAAGCCATCGTGGAGCACATGCGAAATGGTTTTTTCGGAGCCGAAGGGGGGAGGGCAATGGCAATTGTGGGTTTTGGGGGGGTTTTTTTGGGGGTTTTGGCCACGGGGGGGGCTTGGAATTGGGGCAGAATGGGGACGGGCGGGTGGCGTTTGTTGGGGGCTCGTGACGCCTCGGGACGTGCGGCCATGCTTTCGGGGACTCGTGAGTCACTGTCAATTTTATGCGGATTCGGGGGGTTTTTTGGAGAGTGGGAACTTTTGGAAATGAGGGGGAGCAATTTTTTTGGGGGGTTGGAACGTGGGGTGAAGGGGTATTTTTTAATTTTTTTTGGGGGATGGGGAATTATCAATTTTTTGTTTTTGGAGTTTATGGGGAGTGATTTAGGGTATTTTGGGGTGAAGGGATATTTTAATGGTGTTTTTTGGGGGCTGGGGAATCATCGATTTTTCTGGAAGTTCTTGGTTGTTTTTTTATTTTGGGAGTTTATGGGGAGTGAGGCATTTTTGGAAAGGATTGAGGGTATTTTTATTATTGATTTTTTTTAGTCATAATTGTTTAGAGGTAATTGGAATTCTCGAGTGAGTCATTGTCAATTTTATGCGGATTCGGGGGGTTTTTTGGAGAGTGGGAACTTTTGGAAATGAGGGGGAGCGATTTTTTTGGGGGTTTGGAACGTGGGGCGAAGGGGTATTTTTTAATTTTTTTTGGGGGATGGGGAATTATCAATTTTTTGTTTTTGGAGTTTATGGGGAGTGATTTAGGGTATTTTGGGGTGAAGGGATATTTTAATGGTGTTTTTTGGGGGCTGGGGAATCATCGATTTTTCTGGAAGTTCTTGGTTGTTTTTTTATTTTGGGAGTTTATGGGGAGTGAGGCATTTTTGGAAAGGATTGAGGGTATTTTTATTATTGATTTTTTTTAGTCATAATTGTTTAGAGGTAATTGGAATTCTCGAGTGAGTCATTGTCAATTTTATGCGGATTCGGGGGGTTTTTTGGAGAGTGGGAACTTTTGGAAATGAGGGGGAGCGATTTTTTTGGGGGTTTGGAACGTGGGGCGAAGGGGTATTTTTTAATTTTTTTTGGGGGATGGGGAATTATCAATTTTTTGTTTTTGGAGTTTATGGGGAGTGATTTAGGGTATTTTGGGGTGAAGGGATATTTTAATGGTGTTTTTTGGGGGCTGGGGAATCATCGATTTTTCTGGAAGTTCTTGGTTGTTTTTTTATTTTGCGAGTTTATGGGGAGTGAGGCATTTTTGGCAAGGATATTCTTATTATTAGGGTATTCTTATTATTGATTTTTTTTTTAGTCATAATTGTTTAAAGGTAATTGGAATTCTCTAGTGAGTCGTCAGTTTTACAGATTCGATGGGTTTTTTAAGGGGTTTTTTGGGTGTGATGGGTTGGGAGTTTTATAAAACAATTGGGAGAATTTTTTTTTATTTTTAGGAAGTGGGGTGGAGGGTCAATGATTTTTTTATGGAGGCTGGGAAATTATCGATTTTTATTGAAATTTTTGGGTGTTTTGTTTTGGAAGAACTCTTTAGAGGCGATTAAAATTTTTTGTATTTTTTTTTACACGTCATCGGGATTTTCAGTCAGTCAATCATAAAGTTTCCCCAAAATTCTTTTGAAGTCATGGGGATTTTCTGTGGAGTCGAAGGTGGGGGTGTTGTGGTGATTATTGATTTTTTTGGGAGCAAGGGGAGTCATCGATTATCCAGAATTTATTTTCTGTTTCGAATGTTTTTTACTCAGTTTCGTGCATGTTTCATTGTTCTCATTTGAGCTTTCTACGTCATTGGGATTTTCGGTGAGAGAGGAGCTAACAGTGACTATTTCGAGTGATGATGGAATATCATCTCTGAGTATTTTGTTTTATTTATTTATTTCATTAATGCATAAGGATGCCAAGTCCCACTACATGGGGAGAGTAATCACATAGATAAATCTTTAGATTGCGATTGTTATCCTAAAAAATATAGTCAACTAATGACAAAGAACTCTCAGTTCTGTTGTCCTACAAAGTCAATGACTCATTGAAACAATTCTGTGGAATGAAACTTTATAATTCAACATTTTTTATGGGGAAGAGTGCTCTCGTGTCAATTTCATAGAATTAATTTTTTAGCTCCATTGACTAGACGACACTGAAATTATCATCAATGACTTCTTGATAACGCACGTGCCACCATTTACTCAATTCTCACATTAAAAAAAATGTTTGTAGAAAATGGGTCTTCAAGCATTTCTTGATAATTGTGTTCTCGATTTTTAAATATATTCAAGAGTGATTGATGATGTCAGATAGTCATCAATATTTTCTAGATATAAATAGAAAAAAAAATGATCTTTCAGATTTTTTAAAAATTAAAATTCCTCCCAAAATTGGAAAAAAAAAATTTTCTAAAAAATTTAATTTCAATCATATTTTTATTATTTTGTTCTCTATTTTTAAATATATTCGAGAGTAATTGATTATGCCAGATGGTATCAATATTTTTTGGATCCAGAGAAGAAAAATTGATCTTTCCGAATTTTCTTGAATTAAAATTTCTCCCAAAATTGAAAAAAAAAAAATTCTGAAAAATTTACTTTCAATCATTATTTGATATTTTTGTCCTCTCCTCTTAAATATATTCGAGAGTAATTGATGATGTCAGATGGTCATCAATATTTTGTAGATCTAAAGGGAAAAAAAATGATCTTTCAAATTTTTTTTGAATCAAAATTTCTCCAAAAATTGAAAAAAAAATGTTTTTCTAAAAAATTTAATTTCAATCATATTTTTATTTTGTTCTCTATTTTTGAATATATTCGAGAGTGATTGATGATGCAAGACACCATCAATATTTTCTAAATCCAGAGAAAAAAATTGATCCTTCAGAATTTTTTATTCTCTCCTCAAAAACTGCCTTTCAAAATCACAATTTCTCCAATTAAAATGATTAAATTCGTTTTTTCATTATACTATTTACTGACGTTGTTCATACCTCACTTCCCAAATTAAGAAAAAAACACTTTTTCGTTTCCAATGACAGTTTTATAAACGCGATTGTTTCCCCTTCTCTTCTTTTTCTTGTTTTTTTCTCTAAAAAAAATGCGATTTTAATCATTTTTTGATAAGTTTCTTCTCAATCGAGATACGCGGTAGCGTATCGGTTTAAATATATGCCAGACATCCTCAGTATTTTCTAAATCTAAAAAAAACTCATCCTTCAGAATTATTTATTTTCTCCTCAAAAACTTTTGCATTTCCAAATCACAATTTCCCCAATTAAAACGTATGAATTCGTCTTTCCATTGCACTATTCACTAACGTTGTTCCTACATCACCTAGATCATTCTCGCAAAAGAGGAATTGATGAGTCATTGATGCAGGAAAGACGTGTGCACTCACCCATAATGAATTAACTAGTAACGATAAATTATTGATAAATGTCTTGGAACTGTCGATAACGGAAAATCATGGAGGATTCATTGTAATTCGTCATCAGTCAGTCCTCCCCGGGTGCAGACACTATTGTCCCAGTTATTTTTCAATCCTCATTGGGCTTCCGTGGAGTAACAAAACGAATTGGAGATAAATTGAAGAAAAAAAATAACAGAAAAGCGTTTTCACACATGACAAAATGCTGAACGTTCTGTTCTTTTTGTTGATTGTTTTATTTCGAGATTCTCAAGTTGATGATAACATTTTATAATTTTTTTTACTGGTGATAATTTTGTTGATTTAACTCGGGGATTTGTTTGCTCATTGGAGGTGGAGCTGTGAATAATGTCTGGGTGAATTGAATTTTTTTCAGGTTTAATTAGTGGCAGATGGATGAGTCATTAATTATGAACATAACCTCTATTTTCAGAAACGAGGAACAATGGTCGGGAGACTCTAAAAATGGTCCTAGCGAGAGTGAGCAACCGGCTTATGATGGGCCACCAGGAATGGAGCCAGATGGTCTCATCGAGACCAACTGGGAATCGGTGAGAATTGAGATTTTTTTTTTAAATTATTCATTAAGAGGACTTTGTTTCACCTCAACGTCATCATTACTCTTTCATTTCTTGATTACATTGGTAATTACAGGATTTGAGATGAAGATAATCATGAAATTCTGCAAAATAGCAGGGGAAAATTGATGAAAAAATTATTGGCAAAGGGATTATTGGGTTTTTCGTGGTTTAGTAATTTGGTAAATTGAACTCGTTTCGAGGATAATGGCAAATTAAGAAGCAATTCTCATGCAAGTTCGTGAAATGGGATAAAATCAATACTTTGTGGCATTTTCTGATGACCCCTGGTGACATTAAATGTATTTCTGTGCAGGTCGTCGAGAGTTTCGATGACATGGCCCTGAAGGAGGAGTTGTTGAGGGGTATTTATGCCTACGGTTTTGAGAAACCTTCTGCTATTCAGCAGCGTGCGATTGTCCCCTGCGTCAAGGGACACGATGTCATTGCCCAAGCCCAGTCTGGTAAGTATTCTAATAAAATGAATATTTTTTCGTTATAATAATTAGGAATTAGGATTGATAACAAATATGGTTGAACTCAATTGGAAATACAGCTGGATGAAGCGTAAAATCACAGGGATGAGAGTCACACAGACTTTGTGCATCGATAATGATGACAATTGCTCTCGATCTTGTCTCTAGCTCTCCTCATCGAACACTGACTCATTCCCAAACTCTCTCATCTCAGCATACTCTAATTACTTTCTTCGTTACCTAGCACTCACTCCCTCGCAGCTACACTCATTCTCCATACTCTTTGTCAGCCACAATAATCTCTTGCATTCCGTCACCCAGGCCACACGCATCACCCAAAATCTCCATCTAGCATAAACATTATTATTTTACAAGGAGTCACTCGCTCCAAACACTTGTCATATCACACCTCAGTTCCATAAACTCGATCTCAAACCTATCGTCTCTATTTGGTCTTTCTGATCTGATTCATTGCCTTTTTGCATCACACATGTAGTCACTCACGTATCGCACTCTTTTCTCTTTCATTTCTTCATGCCCTTATTTTATTGATTATTCAGGAAAATTTATAGTCTTATGTTGAATGTGAAATTATCCTGGTAATGAGGGGTTTTAGAAGAGAATGTTGAGAGACATTTTTTGTTGGGAATTAAATTCTCTACAAAAACGGTTTCTTCTTCATATTTCTTCCTAAAAACACCTGTTGACGAGTCAAAATTATTCTAAAGAAGTCATCAAAAAATATAAAATGAGAATGTTTATTGAACGTTCTTAAATAACTATCAATTCGATGAATTCTTATTTTTGTGTATAATTAAGTGCTAGGACATTTGATTAGAGAGGAATCTCGTAATTGAGAGAGGAATCTGCAGGTCGCAGTCCTTGGCCTCGTTTCTCCAAGATTAAATATCTCAGATTCTAATTGAGTTGTACTGACTCTTTCAGGAACTGGTAAAACTGCAACCTTCTCGATTTCCATCCTCCAACAGATTGACACGGCTGTGAACGAATGCCAGGCCTTGATTCTTGCACCAACTAGAGAATTGGCTCAACAGGTAAAACATGAACATGAGTTTAAAAATAAATCTGCGATTGCCTCGAGCAATTGTCTTGAATTTCAAACAAAAGTAAAGGCTAATTTTAGAATTTGAATTCTAAACGGTTGTTATTCATGTCGAGCGACACTTTTATTTGACGTTATGATAATCGTAAAACCTTGTCAAATTGAAGAAAAATGGGGGAGAGATAATGAAACCCAAGCTGTGACTGGTAGTTTGTCCACTCAGGTCTAATCTACTAAGAAAAGAATTTGAAAGAAAAAAAATGAAACTAAATTTTCAAAAATTACTAAAATCGAGAAATTGCAAATGAAATTCATAGTTCAAACATTTTCCTTTATCATCTCACATATAAATCCACCGTTACCTTCTAATTACGTTCAATGATATACAAAAAATTCATTCACACTATCTAAATGACCAATGCTCAAAAATCTGCGAAAAAAAGATTTCTCATCAGCAAAAAATTTCGAACATCATTGATAACAATCTGTTCACAAAAAAAATTCAAGAAAATGTTTCTTTTAATTATTCAAGTACAAAAAAAGATGATTTTACAATATATTTAGTGAAAAAAACCGATGAAAGTCGATGAATCCAAAAATTTTGGGAGCACTATCTTGCGAATATCTCAGAAAGTCTGGGGTTTTTCGAAAAATGTCAAAAGACATTTTTTGTTAGAAATGAAAATTCCCCCCAGAAATCCTCCCTCACATTCCCCTTCCCTCCTGAGATATTTCCACACCCCAAAATCCGCTCCTTTCACCTAGAGACCCCAAAAATCTCCTCCTACGTCTCTTGTAATTGAAAAAAACCCCTCAAGACCCTCATAAACCTCCTGCGTAGACAAACGAGTCTCCAAATCCCTCCCCCCCGCCCTCCAAAACCCCTGAAGATTGTGGAAGGGTAAAAAAAACGGAAGTTCGAAAGGATAAAAACCCAGAGACATCCCAAAGTGCCCCTGCATTTCTGGATTATGCCCAAAACGAGAGAATAAAGGGCCTGCACCCCAACCAAGAGCCGCCAGCCCCCTTCACCTCCCGATTACTCTATTTTACCTCAATTAATTACTCAATCTCACTTAATCAATCGGTTAACAGTGGATTAACAAAGAATTGAATAAGTAAAGATATTACCACCACAGCTGATGGAGAAGAGACCAAAAAAAAATTTCTATCCCGGTAAAAAAGCGAAAAATGGAAAAAATCCAGTGAAAAAAAAATCAGATGTTTTTGTTTGTCGTTTTTGGTATTTATAATATACTCACACCACATGAGAGATCAATTGAGAACTCGGTTATATTTTTTTCCACTTACAATCTCACTTTAAAAGAAAATGTTGAACTATGGATTTTACTTGCAATCTCTCGATTTTAGTAATTTTACTGTTTCGCAAAATAGTTTTACCTCAATTTTTCTTTTATTTATTTATTTATTTTCTAATTTCTTGCTGCATTTATCGAAGAAACCTTAACATTTCAAGGATGATTATTATTACGTTCGTGGAAGAAAACTCAATTTTCGAATTTCTTCCGAAGAAAAGTTCAAATTTCTTCAGAAAATTCAGTTTATCAATCCATTTTCCCTCCTATTTATTTAACAACCATCAATTCATTCAACATTCATGAACAATTGCAATTATTTATGTTTTGATAAATTTCTCGTCATTTTTTTAAAGGCCCTGTCAATTAAGTCCTGCATCATGCAGAAGTTTTAAAAAATTATGAATGACTAATACAAAAAAAAGTAGAAAAAATTCTTAATTTTTTCAAAGAGCATTTTTAATTCATATTCAGAATAAGTTGAATAACCAGAAATTGAAATATGTATCTGATTTACGGTGACAAATGGCGGCCTGTCACCCAATATCATGCAGGGGGAAGACTGATTTCGTAAATCTTTTCCCACACTGCACAGATACATTTATCACGCAAAAGGCTCTTTGAAAAAAGTTGTAATATTTTGGAGAATCTTTTAATCACACTTTTATCACATAAAAATGGCAGATGACTACACACCACTGTTTTGAAAATTTAGATAATTTGCCACAGCGAATCAGATATTTGTAATTTCCACTTTTTTCAACTCATTCTGAATCTCAATTAAAAACGCTCTTTGAAAAAGTTGAGAATTTTTTCCATTTTTTTAATCATTCTATCATGATTTTTGGGAATTTCTGCATGATGTACCACTCAATTGACAATTTTGGATTACGAAAGATAAAAAAAATCCAGATAATATTCGAAAGATAGTACACCCGGGCCTTAACTAAAAAAAACAACAGCAACAAAATGAAATTTTTTTCTTAATTTACAGATTCAAAAAGTAGTGATTGCCCTGGGTGACTTCATGCACGCGCAGTGTCACGCCTGCATCGGTGGTACCAATGTCCGTGAGGACATGCGCAAGCTGGAGTTGGGTGTCCACGTGGTTGTTGGTACCCCAGGACGTGTCTACGACATGATAAGTCGACGTGCCCTTCGCACTCAATGCATCAAGCTATTCGTCCTCGACGAGGCCGACGAGATGTTGTCCCGTGGATTCAAGGATCAAATTCACGATGTCTTCAAGCTACTCTCCCAGGAGGTCCAGGTGATTCTGCTGTCAGCGACAATGCCCACGGACGTGCTCGAGGTGTCCAAGTGCTTCATGCGAAATCCCATTAGCATTCTCGTGAAGAAGGAGGAATTGACACTCGAGGGTATCAAACAATTTTACGTTTTCGTTGAGCGTGAGGACTGGAAGTTGGAGACACTGTGCGATCTCTACGACACTCTGAGCATCACTCAGGCTGTTATTTTCTGTAACACACGTCGCAAGGTCGACTGGCTAACGGAGAATATGCACAGCAGGGACTTCACTGTCTCAGCTATGCATGGGGACATGGAGCAGAGGGAGAGGGATCTCATTATGAGACAATTCAGAACTGGCTCGTCACGTGTGCTCATCACGACTGATCTACTTGCTAGGGGCATCGATGTCCAGCAGGTCTCCCTGGTTATCAATTACGATCTTCCTTCCAATCGTGAGAATTATATCCACAGGTGAGATTTTTTTTTATTGTTTAAGGCCCGGGTGTACTATCTTTCGAATGTTATCTGGATTTTTTTTATTTTTCGTAATCCAAAATTGTCAATTAAGTGGTACATCTTGTAGAAATTCCCAAAAATTATGATAGAATGATAAAAAAAATGGAAAAAATTCTCAACTTTTTCAAAGAGCGTTTTTAATTGAGATTCAGAATGAGTTGAAAAAAGTGGAAATTACAAATATCTGATTCGCTGTGGCAAATTATCTATTAGCTGTCATTTTCCATGGTGGATAACAAAACACTATCTACTCATGGGAAGTGACAGCTAGGTATCTCAATTTTCAAAACAGTGGTATGTAGTCATCTGCCATTTTTATGTGATAAAAGTGTGATTAAAAAATTCTCCAAAATATTACAACTTTTTTCAAAGAGCCTTTTCCGTAATAAATGTCTCTGTGCAGTGCGGGAAAAGATTTACGAAATCAGTCTTCCCCCTGCATGATATTGAGTGACAGGCCGCCATTTGTCACCGTAAATCAGATACATTTTTCAATTTCTTGTTATTCAACTTATTCTGAATATAAATTAAAAATACTCTTTGAAAAAATTAAGAATTTTTCCTACTTTTTTTTATTATTCATTCATAATTTTACAAAACTTCTGCATGATGCAGGACTTAATTGACAATTTCAGATGACGAAAGATGGAAAAAAAACATCGAGATAACGCTCGAAAGATAGTACACGTCCCGTAATTATCGTTTTGGTTTTTCAAAGGAGAAATGTTTAAAAATCAGGATTTAACCCAGTGTCTTATGTGAATATCAACATTTCCATTGTAATCAAAGATTAAAATCTGACTTTTTTTCATTAGATGTGAAAAATTTGAGAATTTTCTCGACATCTCATAAAAAATAATCCACCGTTTTACAAACAAGTTTTATTATTTATTTATAAGAGGGAAATGTTTGAAAAAATATCAATATTTTGCGAAATTTAATGTAGATAATACTGACTGGGTATGAATTTTTTCAAATTTTTTCCATGCAATTTAGTTGAAAAATCTAAAAACTGAAAATATTCAAGAGTACAGCGTAGCCCGGCCGATGGATAGAGCTACTTTAAAAACAGTCAAACGAAAAAAAATGAAATAAAATGCATTGGCTGTATTGAACTTTGAAATAAACTCCTAGAGAATTTCCTAATGTTTGACACCAATTTCAATGTTTGCCGACAATTGGTTTCCGAGATCTTCGAAAATGCTACATTTATTTATAACAAACAAATTATTCAACAAATCGAAATTTAACTTCTGCCATTCGATAGAATAACCATTCAATCATCGTTCAAGATCATTGAAGTATTTTCAGTAAAAATTTCAAAATTTTTGGGGGAAATTTTGGTGATAAACGAGAGGATTTAATATGATTGAAGCGGTTGAATGTAAAATTTTCATCTCCAACTTTTGCTCGTAGAAAAAAATATAAATGCATTGCAAAAAAATAAAATAAAATGGATTATAAAATAAAATAGATTTAGAAACTTTTTATAAATGATCAATCGAATTTCATAATTTTTTTAGGAATGTAGAGTTTGATAAGCTCCATTCACTGACACCAATTGACATTCAATTTTCCATACTGATTCGAAACAATTGATGTTTTTTCAAAAACAAAAAAATTGAACAATTGACAAATTGAATTGAATTCTTCTGTTACAAAAGAAATTTCTGTTTCTCTAAAATTCGTCTCATTGAAATTTCGAGTTTTTATTTTCCTCTTTTTAAACTACTCAAGGATAACTTTTTCGTCGGGGGTTTTCAATTTTCTAGTTTTCATTTTTTTTCCCTTTCCTGCATAATTTAATCCTTTCATTAGTCTAAAGGTGATTATCCTCAATTTGAATCTTTCGCGCGCAGAATCATAAATATGAACGAAATTTGAATGTTACCAATCCATTTTCAGAATTGGTCGTGGTGGACGTTTTGGACGTAAAGGAGTCGCCATCAACTTCGTCACCACCGACGATAAGCGTACCATGAACGATATCGAGCAGTTCTACAACACTCATATTGATGAAATGCCAATGAATGTTGCCGATTTGATTTAAATAAAAATCGAACCACGAGACAAATTGGCGAATAAAGAAAAATCTTCAACATAAATACCGAAAAAAAAAACAGAAAAAACCAACAAACCTTAAAATAATTAACAAAAAAATCGCAAAACAGTTTTAAAAACGAAAAAATAAATAAAAGTAAGTGGAAAAAAAAACATAACCGAGCTCTCAGCTGATCTCTCATGTGGTGTGTGAGTATATTATAAATACCGAAAACAACAAACAAAAATATCTGATTTTTTTTTCACTCGATTTTTTTCCATTTTTCGCTTTTTTACCTGAATAGAAAGTTTTTTTGGTCTCTTCTCCATCGCTGTGGTGGTAATATCTTTAATTATTCAATTCTTTGTTACCACTACGAATTATTGATTAATTAATCGTTAGATGAGTAGATAAATAGGTGTAATCCACTGTTAATCGATTGATTAAGTGAGATTGAGTAATTAATTGAGGTAAAATAGAGTAATTGGGAGGTGAAGGGGGCTGGTGGCCCTTGGTTGGGGCACAGGCCCTTTATTCTCTCGTTTCGGGCATAATCCAGAAATCCAGGGGCACTTTGGGATGTCTCTGGGTTTTTATCCTTTCGAACTTCCGTTTTTTTACCCTTCCACAATCTTCAGGGGTTTTGGAGGGCGGGGGGGAGGTATTTGGAGACTCGTTTGTCTACGCAGGAGGTTCATGAGGGTCTTCAGGGGTTTTTTCAATTACAAGAGACGTAGGAGGAGATTTTTTGGGGCCTCTAGGTGAAAGGAGAGGATTTTGGGGTGTGGAAATATCTCAGGAGGGAAGGGGAATGTGAGGGAGGATTTCTAGGGGGAATTTTCATTCCCAACAAAAAATGTCTCTTGACATTTTTCGATAAACCCCAGACTTTCTGAGATATTCGCAAGATAGTGCTCCCAAAATTTTTGAATTCATCGACTTTCACCGGTTTTTTTTTCACTAAATAAATTGTAAACTCATCTTTTTTTTCACTTGAATAATTAAAAGAAACATTTTCTTGAATTTTTTTGTGAACAAATTGTTATCAATGATGTTCGAAATTCTTTGCTGATGAGAAATCATTTTTTCGCTGATTTTTGAGCATTGGTCATTTAGATAGTGTGAATGAATTTTTTGTATATCATTGAACGTAATTAGAAGGTAACGGTGGATTTATATGTGAGATAATAAAGGAAAATGTTTGAACTATGGATTTTATTTGCAATCTCTCGCTTTTAGTATTTTTTGAAAATTAGTTTTTTTTGCAATTTTTTTTTGTTTATCAAATTATTTTTCTTGTTGATTAGACCTGAGTGGACAAACTACGAGTCACCATTTCGGTTTTTTTATTTTTCCCCATTATTCTTTTATTTATTTAGTTTTTAGAATTTTTTTCTCTGCGAATTTTTCAACGAATCTGAACATTCCAACGATTGAACTCAATTTTTTTCTCGATTTGGCAGGTCTTCATGATTTAGAAACGTTACGTTTTGTGGGAGGGAACTTAATTTTTGAATTTCTCCTAGAGAAAAATTCAAATGTCTACAGAAGTTTAAATTTATCGATCCATTTCCCTCTTATTTATTCTACGAACATTAAGTTATTCAACTTTCATCACGCGAAAATCTTGTTTTCCTCCTCTCCGAAATAGTGAATGTTCACAACTGAACAATTGGAGTTTTTTTAATTCATTTTCCTTTTTCTCCGACTTTTTCCCGATTTATTTCGACAACTTTCAGTGCCCAATGATCAGAGGATGGGATGACAAACGTTTTATTCTCCCAGTAGACTAATTACTCACCTAGCTAATTTGTATGTACATTTCTCAATCGCTAAAAACGCAGAATTAAAAAAAATAATCTGCAGTGAAGTGGCAAATCATGAAAAATTAAAAATTCGTTCTTGTTAATCACGTAATTATCTCGTTAATGAGTCGTTCCAGCGAGAAATGTCCCCAGACCCTTCCGCTGGAGAATTAAATTTCCTTCAGAAATGCTCTCAAACATTTTCCCGTAAACCCACTCATCAACAACATAAATAAACAATTAGCAAGAGAAATCTAATTGACAAAGCGATCGATATCATGAAACTAGTCGATTGATTCTTTGAAAATCTCAGCAATGAGTGGGTTTACGAGGAAAATGCATAGGACATTTTTTGTGGGAAATTTAATTCTTTACAAAAAACGTCGTATGACTTTTGCCTCTAGAACCCCTCGTTAACAAGATATTCCCGCAATTAACAAAAACGGACATTGATCAAATGATCGACTCTAGGAGAAACACTCGAATAACCGCTTAATTATCTCGTTAATGAGTGGTCTGAGGGGAAAATGTCAAGCTACACTTTTTACGGAAAATTTAATTCCCCATAAAAAAGATTTATAACATTTTCTCGTAGAATGCTTCGTTCTCGAGATAATCGAAGAATTACGTGAAACCACTTTACTCCAGCAATCCACCATAATTAAACAATTCGCATTAATGTAAATATTAAACAAACAATCGTAGTTGATGGACGTCCAGCGGTTAAAATTGAGTTGGCAATGATTATTTGTATTGAGTTGATAATGTGAGCACTCGTCAAACAAAAAAAACTAGGAAATTGTGTTTTAGGATTTAGAAATTCTGTGAAATCATTGAACTAGAAAAATTATGAATTTGCACTCGTCATTATTTCATTAATTAATCCAATTTGATAATTTAGTCAATTTGTGTTGACGATGAGCATCGATTTTCACAATTCTCCACTGAAAACAAATTTTTCGAGTGAATAAAAATATTAAAATCACCGAAAATTGATGGAAATTCAATTGAATAATTTTTTTTTTTTGATTGCAAAAATAATTTCACATGTTAGATGTAAGTTCATTAAATAATCGTGTAGTAAATAATCAATTTTGCGATCGTGTTTAGATAGAACAAATGAAAATTGACGAAGGGAATTAATTAGAATCATTTCGACTTTTAATGAATTAATGAAACAATTTTTCTCGTAACTCCTCGATGGTTTACTACTGCCCCCCATGTATTTTCAAGAAACAACATAACGAAATAATGAAAATGTAAACGAGCGATGTATTAATAAATATTTATTCATAAAATCTGATCTATATTTATCGATTTTTCCACTCATTTATTGTTAACAAGAGAATTTTAATGAGTTTTTATTGTTGAGGAGTGAGTTTTTTTCGTGTTGGCATGAAGATTTTTGATTGGAGTCTCACATTATTGCACTCAAATTAATTTTCCGTCTGGAGGAATTGATGAAACGACAATTCCACTGATTGCCGAGAATTTTAAATCGGTTTTCACGTCGTTGCGAGCATTTTTTGTGAAGTTTTATTTCACGTTCATCACTTAATTGAATAGAAAACGGACGGACTAGAAGTTGAAATTGATGGTGAAGAAAAATATAACGAGAGGGGATTCTACTTCGACTAGAGCATTGATCAAGGTAATTATCAATTTGAAAAATCATCATAAATACGAAAAATTGATCGAATTAATGACATTGAGCTTAAAAAATATCATAAAACTACCAAAATGTTATGAATTTGGATAAGCATCTCATCTCATTGCCTTTGAATATATTTTTTTTACTAAAAAAAAGATTATAAACAAGAATTATTATAAAATTATTAGAAAAATCGATGGAACTGACGATTATCATTTTAAGAATTCAATGAAACGAAAGAAGCCTTAAAAATCCATTTCTTGTTCTATCATAGAAATTAATCTCTAATAAACAAATTCAACTAAAATTCAAATAAACAATTTCAGCTGAAAAAAATCATCATAAATACGAAAAATTGATGGGATTAATGACATTGAGCTTAAAAAAATATCATAGAACTACTAATTTCAAATAAACAATTTCAGCTGAAAAAAATCATAAGTACGGAAAAATTGATGAGATTAATGATATTGAATTTGAAAAAATTCAATAAAACTCTGCAGACGTTATAAATTTTAAAAGGAATATCCTCTTATTGCCTTCGAATAAATTTTTTCAACCAAAAAACATGATTATAAACATGAATTATTATAAAATTTGCTGAAACTAATAGTTATCGACTTAAGAATTGAATAAAATGAAAAAAAAACTCCAAAAATCCATTTTTTTCTATAAAAAAATTATTTCTCATCTTATCGCCTTCAAATAAATAATTTCAGCTCAAGAAAATCATCATAAATACAAAAAAATGAGACTAATGACATTGAGCTTAAAAAAATATAATAAAACTCCTAAAACGTTATGAATTTTGATAAGAATCTCATCTCATTGTCTTTGAATAAATTTTTTCAACCGAAAAAAATTGTTATAAACAAAAACTATTATAAAATAATTATAAAAAATTATAGAACTAATGATTATCCATTTAAAAAATCGTTGAAATGAAAGAAATCCTAAAAGTCTATTTTTTTTCCTATCAAAAAAATTAATTTCTCATCTCATCGCCTTCAAATAAACAATGTCAGCTGAAAAAAGTCATCATAAATACGAAAAATTGATGGGATTAACGACATTAAGCTTAAAAGCTATAATAAAACTCTCAAACCCTTCAAAAAACAATTGTTTCATATATTTCAATAAATATCCTTGTCATTCGTCATTAAAATATCTTGCACAAACCCACAATTAAGTCCCTAATAGTCCTTACAATTCATTGGAATTACGTAAAAACCACCAACCGAATGGTTTGGCTCAACTTAACAATTAAAGCTTGATTAACAATTCGTCGGATACATCTTGCAAGACCATCCCCTCATGTCTGATGCCTTTCCCCCACCACTTAGACATTATCATCGTCTCCAATCACCTCTAGATAAATTTAAAAATGGAAATGGTCGCGCACGACCTCTAAATATCACATGAGAATTTATTAAAAATATGTCTTATAATGTCTTTGAAATGTCTTCCACTAACTAATCGGTCATGCTCATCTTCTCCTGAAGTATCTGGTAGTAGCAGGCTTTCAATGTCGTGAACATTATATCCAACTCACCGTTAACGAGATGTGGCTCCATAAAATCTTCAATGAAATGTATTTCACTTCCTAATTGTAAAACACTGGCGCGAACAACAACGAAGTTAAATACTGGAAATAACTCGTCCATTGTCCACAGGTAAGTTGTACCCAATTGCTTTTGTACTGTCTGAAAATAGAAAAAATTAATTTAAAAAAAACATTTAATGCCTAGGAAAATTTTATTTATTTTTTCGAAATTTATCAATTTTTTAAAGATTTTTTAAAAATTCCAATTCACATGAACTCGAATTCAAAAAAAATTTGGAAGAAATTTGTTAAACACCTAGGGGGCTACGCCCCTTGCTCGCTCCGCTCGCCAACCCCCCTATGATCCTCGGATGACCCCCATGATCCTTATTCTGACCCTTATGACCCTTAATCGGACCCTTGTGACCTTTAATCTGACTCCGTGATTCTTATTCTGCTCTTTGTGACCCTTAATCTAACCCTCGTGATCCTCATTATACCTCGTGACCCTTACTCTGACCCATATGGCCCTTATCTGACCCTTGCAACCTTTAATCTGACTCTGTGATCCTTATTCTGCTCTTTGCGACCCTTAATCTGACTCTCGTAACCATCATTCTGGCCCTCATTATCTGACCCTTGCAACCCTTAATGAGACCCTTTTCACCCTTATTTAGACCCTTATTCTGAACTTTGTGACCTTTAATCTGACTCTGTGATCCTTATTCTGCTCTTTGCGACCCTTAATCTGAGGCATATGGCCCTTATCTGAACCTTGTAACCTTTATTCCGACCCTTGCAACCCTTAATCAGACCCTTCTCACCCTTAAGCTGACCCTCGTGACCCTTTTTCTGACCCTTATAACCATTATTTTGACTCTCGTGACCCTTATTTTAACCCTTGTGGCCTTTAATTCTAGAGTCTCAATTTCGAGTACCAAATTGTACCAAAGGTTGATTTGAATTTTTATAGTATAGACAAATAGTCTCTCGTTTGGCAACGCAAGCATAAATTATTGATAAAAGTTTGAGACTGTCGATAACTTTCATATTGACCATGAAAATTCCATTAATTTTGTCTCATTTTTCAAAATTTTTTCTGGATTTTTTTATTCTCAAATCCCCAATCTCAATACCCCTTAATCCTCCCGACTCACCTTAGTCATCTGTTCAAAAGTGCTCCGAATAACCAACAGCTTCTCCAGCGGTGAGAAAGTGGTCTTCAGCTGCTGCAGCGTCTCCACAGCCTCCCCGAACCCCCCATCCTTCCCCTCCATCCCATCGGCCCTGACCTCCCTGATCCTCCCCCAAAACTTCTGGTCAATATCCAGGAACCCCATCAGCGTCTGATCCGGCTGTTTGTTCCACTTGACCAGTCTCTCCCAGTAGGCGTCGTCCTCCCTCTTATTATGCAGCGCATAAAGCACAAAAAGGGCGGAGTGGACCCTGGGCAGCAATATCGGATGCAGTATGGCGGCCGCACTGATGACCTTGCTCTCCTCCTCGCCCTGCCCCTCGAGGATGCACTCCTCCCCCCCCTTCGGCAGAGCCGGAAAGAACAGGACGACAATCTCATAGATCCTCATAGTAATGCTGCGCAACTCCGCAACGGCATGCGACAGCAGAAGAGGGTGCACCCTCACGCCCCCATAGGTAGCCGTGTAAACCCCCGACAGCTCCGACAGCAAACACCCCAGCGGATGATGCCGACTCTCAAACGCATTCATCAAGTAATCGTGGACTTCCCCGTAAATTTCCCTAGTCAATTTATCCCCTAGTTCTGGTATTTTCATGAGTTTTTCGGTGGTCGCCCTGTCCTTATCCCGGTCTACCTTCGACGGCGGGAAATTCAAATGTGTTCGATTGGACATTGACTTTTGATGGGACTTGTTAATGATCACCGCGACATTCTGCCAGAGCTTTTGAGTCTCATTTTTCTTCTCAGGAGTCGACTCCCTCTTCTGGGGAGTCTCTTTAGAATTGGGAGGGGTGGGGGGATGGAGGTCGGGCAGCCCGAGCTGCTGATAACAATGCCGGAAGATGGCTTTCCACTTCTGCTCGGGCGGGACGCAGAGTTTCCCAAAGGAGGGGGGCTTGGGCGAGGGATCCGGGTGGGAGGAAGCCTTGGATATGTGGAGGGTGGCCGTGACCTTGACGGGCTCATTCCAGGCGCCGTTGATGGTGCCCTCAAGGCGGTCACCACTGCGGAAGGTCAGGGTGCCCTTTCCGCAGAAGGTGCCCGCAGACTTGAATTCCCCCTCGTAGTGGGTGCCGTCTTCGAAGACCATGACACCGTGACCCGTGAGGACATCCTGGACAAAGACCCCCTCGTAGTAAATCCCGTCGAGGGTGACAATGAGGCCGCAGCCATGCTTCATGTCCCCACTCCACGAGCCCAGGTACTTCTCCCCGGTCATGATATCATCCATCACCCCGTACCCGCTCTTCACCCCGGCCGCCCACTCCCCGATGTAGACAGTGGCCACACTGGCCATGAAATGCCCCTCCCGTTTGCTCCCGTGACCGTGCGGAACGCCGTCCTTGAAGATGCCCTCGTAGACGTCCCCATTGATGTACCTGAACACCCCGCAGCCGTTCTGGACACCATCCCTCCACATGCCCTCGTAGATTCCCTGAGTGGGCACCTCCATCCTGCCGTGGCCCTGAATGACTCCCTTGTAGAACTGCCCGGTGTACAAGCGTCCGTCAGCCCACTCCATCTTCCCGAAGCCGTGGACCTTCCCGTTGCTCCACCTGCCGACGTACTTGGCGTCCTTGAAAACAGGATGCTTCAGGAAGAGGTACGTGCAGGACCTGTCCCTGGGAGGGGTGGACCCCACCACCCTAGGAAGGCTGTTCCTGATGGCGCTCTGGAACCCCTGGAGCCATTCGTTCCTCTCACTAGCTCCACTAGTGTACAGGACAAAGCTCTCTTCAGGGGTGACGATGGACAGGGCGTTCTGAAGCCCTTCGGAGTCGGCCAGGGGCTCCACCCAGAGGGTCTGCAGGGCGTGCACCGTGTGAGAAGCTCCTGACGCATGGATGAAGATGTCGGTTAAGAGGATGAACCAGTGGGAGGTGAATCTACTTGAGTTGAAGAGGAAGATCGGATGGCTTCTGCTCTCTCGGATGAGTCTTCTCTCGGGTGCTCGAAGAAGATCGACCAGCTTTCCTGAGCTCTCCCAAAAGACTCGCGTCATCTCGGCCTCCTTCACCCTCCTCTCTTGGTCATCAATGATCCTCTCCCACTTGATCAAGGCCTCCTGGAGCCGCTCGATCCCCATCTTGGAGCCGTTCGTCTTGATCAGCGTTTGAATCATGTGCTTGTACCTGTTTAGCCTTGTCAAGGGGTACTGCAGAGCCACCGCGATGACCTCCTGAGTCCTCCTTGGGGTCTGATGATCGGGAGTCGATGAGGAGTCGTTGAACAACTTTGTAACAACAGCTGGCAGATCACTCATCATCTTCCCCATGTGTCCAAATCCCCCTAGACTGACAGCATCACAGATCGCATTGAGGTAGTACTTGTAAACCGCGATGAACTCTTCGTAATGAGAGACCAAGGACACCTCGTAAGCTTCACCGATCTGATTGGAGTAGTCCTCGAGGGTCGACACGTTCAAGGCTGTCAGCGATAGCAGCTCAGAGTAGCACCTGCAGAGGGTGTCGTAGACGTTGGACTCCTGGGTGGCTCCAGCCTTCTTCTGAAAGGGTTTGATGAAGTTCTGATGAACAGTGATCATCTCCTCGAGGAATATCTGCTCGATCTTCAGATCCTCGGTGACTCCAGGGGGCGACGAGGGGCTTGTTGAGCAGAGGGAATAGCTCCCTGATGATGATATGTACTTGATAGAGTTCTGGGTGTCTAGTCTCGTGACTTTAGTCTTCTCATTCTCAGCTGGCAGCCCCGTCCCAGACGGGCTGCCTATGAAGAAGAGGTCGTCGTCGAAGACGATCAAGCTGTGTCTGTCCCCTGTCGAGATGTCTCTCGCTCTTCTAGAATTCGCGAATGGAGACATGAGTTTTGGAGAACTTTGGTCTGTCGCCGAGTCGGCGTGCACCTGGAAGTGGTCGTTCCTCCCCCATCCGAAGACCCTTCCGTCTAAAGTCAAGGACAACGTGTGATACAGCCCTGACGACACCTTTTTGACACCCGTATTGTGGAGCTTGTTAACGAGCACTGGCTTGGGCCGCTTGATGATGTCGCCCGTGCCCAGTTGGCCGAACGACACGTCCCCCCAGGTCCAGAGCTCCGTAGACAGGAGGTTCGTGCCGATGTCCACGAGGGAGTTGATGCGCTCGTTGAGGCCTTGTTGGGAGAGCTCGTGCTCTAGGGAACCGGTGGACGAAGACCAGGGGAACTCCTCGCAACGGAGGCTCTGGGCGAGGCTTAGACTTGTTGCTGACGGCTTGTTGTCTTCCAGCAGGTCCTCAAAGTCAGCTGTGATGTCGTCGCGAATGTCGTTGATCTCGGAGGAGCCCGAGACGTGACGGGAGAGGGTCGCCACCTTGTCACCCATGGTCTTCACTCCTTCGTACACCAGATTCGCCATGTTGGAGACGTTCTGCTTGATCAGTCCCGTTGGGTTCGTCGTGAGTTCGGTTTCTTCCTTGACGTTTCCGTAGGAGGACACCCAGGACAGCTGACGAGTCAGAAACTGTCTGGCTGCCTCGGTATTGATGAAGATGACGTTCTTCTTGGATTCGTCTTTGCATGCATCTGATTGTCGATGACCGTTGACGAGTTTTGGGCCCCTGTCGGGGTGCGCCGGAGTGGGGGAGTGGGTCTGGGGGGTTAGGGACGTCAGCGAAGGATCCGATGAATATTGGTGCGGGTGGAGGGCCATCGGGCAGGTGTCTGAGGACGTCAGACTCTGGGGGGATGGCCTGATTGTGCTCAGGCACTGCGGGCAACTTGAGACGAACACCTCGTCGGGGTCGTTCTCACTGTCTGTGTCGTCTTTGGGGGTCTTTGGGGTCTTACGGGCAATCACCACGTGGAAATTCGAGCCTGAGGAGGTGGAGGAAATTGTTCGGCCGTCGAAGAAGATGACGGGTTTGGGGTTCGCGGTGGAGATTGAGAGCTGGGGGTGGGAGCCTGATGCCCACAGGTGACCTGAATCCGTTGTGAACAGGGCGGATGTGGGGGAGGTCGACAGGGAACGGAGTTTTAACGTCTCGTTCTCCTGTTTGCAGCTGAAATGCCAATTTTTTTTCTAGCAATGACAATTCAACGGCTAGGCAAATTATATTGATATCGTTAAACTACCAAAATATGTCAATTGAAAATGTTTGAAGTGAAAAATTCATGACATTTACGGGACAATTTCGGCGGAATGAGGTCAATGATGGATAAAAAAATTTAATGTTCAATTGAAATTTGGAAAAAACAAATTTAATTAACAATCCTATGTTTTTTTTTCAATTAAAATTGGACTTTTACTTAAATTTATATTAATATCGATAAAATACGAAAATATATCAACTAAACGCATTTTAATTAAGAAATTAATGACATCATGGGACAATTTGGATAGATTGAGATCAATTGTGGACTGAAAATTCCAATTTTTAGTCGAAATTTAGAAAAAAAAATCATTAATATAGGGGAGCGTGGGGTAAAATGGACACTTTAGACTTTTTTAAAATTATTCATAGCTCAGAAATAAATTGATCAATTGAGCTCAGTTTAGGCTCGTTACAAAGAGAAATAATTGTTCTTTGTATTTAAAAAAAGTATTAAATTTTATCAACATTTCCACCCCTCATTAACATTTAAAAAAAAGTCAAAAGTGTCCGTTTTACCCCAACCTCCCCTAATTAATAATTAATTGATAAATAAACTTTCGAATAAATGTATGTTTCTATTGTTCAACTGCTACAATAAATCAACTCAAAACCTTTAAATAAATAAGAAAAAGTAAAGAAAAATTTTATTGAAAAATTTGTTTTCAGTGAAAATTACTACAAAACTTTCTAGATAAATGTATATTCATATTCTTAAGCTGCCACAGTAAATCAACTTAAACTTAACATTTCTAAATTAAAACAAGTAATAGCATTGTGACAGAATGGGGGCAAAATGGGATCAATTAATACAAAAAAACTCCAATTTTCAAAATAAAAACAGAAGAAAAAAGTTTTTGGTACAAAAATGAGTTGAAAACATTTTTTTTGTTTTTTTGCCCTAAAAATTAATAAAAATATGCAGAACTCACCCATGACTACAAAGTTTCACTTCATCTCTCAAGATAATGGTCTCCACCACCTCCAAGCTCCCAGGAACGATCTTCAAAACGTGTCCACTCTCATCAATGATGAAAAGATTCTTCGAGTCACTTGCTATATCAGCAGCAGTAAAATCAATTCTCCTGAGTGTGACACGATGCCCCTCATCACCAGACGTATGAACCTCCCCATGATAGACGAAGTGACTCGTCGTTGATAAAAATACGTGAGCTTCGATGGAGATGATTTTTTTTACCGCACCATTCGGTGGATCAACAAATTCCACAGCCACTCTGTCTGTTTTATGAAATATGTACACCTGCTGTGCCATCATATATCGGCCCTATATACCCTACTACATAAAAACCCTCACTATTTATATAAATTTTTTACTAATTAGTTTCTACAATTAATCTATCAATTCGAGATTTTTATTTGCACTTTTTTATTGCACTTAAAACTTGATAACTTCATTAATTAATTAGTATTAATCAATTGGTGCGGGAACTGTTCTTGAGTATTCCTCCAGTTATTTATTCAACTAATTAAATTAATTATGCTAATGATTTTTGTACGTTTTAGACATTGAGAATTCTCTAAAATTTCTTAATGATTTTTTTTGTTTCAATTGGGGATTTTGGGGGTCTAATTATCTTTCTTGTACTTTAGCGGTGTTTGATGATTGTTTGATGATTTGTAGACGTCATTTTCGATTGTTTAAGTTTATTTGATTAAAATTGGAGATTTGGCGAATTTTTTTGGGAATTTTTTCTCCTTTTTTCGATTTCTTTTGATGATGCTGAGGATTTTTTAATGATTGTTCGATGATTTTGATGAATAAATAATGAATTAACAATTAATTGATTACTTTTGAAGATTTGGTTAGTTTATTTGTGAATTTTCTCATCCTTTACTAGCTTCTCGTGATGATTCTGAGATTTTTTTATTGATTTTCTTGAGGCCTAGGACTTTTTAATGATTATTCGATGATTTGGATGAATAATTAATGATTTAGGAGATGTGATTGTTGATTATTCAATTTAAATGATTTGATTTTGGGGATTTGATGAATTTATTTGTGAATTTTATTTTCGTTCTCTTATTTTTTTAAACAATTGTGGGGACTCAATGATTTGTTATTAATTTTCTTGCAGTCCACTCCTTTTTGATGATTCTTTGATGATTTCTTTAAACAATTAAACTGTCTGCCCACACAATTATTGATCACTCAATTATTTATTAATTTCCTCACGTTTTTTCTTTTTTTTAAGTAAATTTTGTGAATTCATTATCAATTCTCTTGTATTCTATTATTGTTTAATAATTGTTCAATGATTATGATGAACAATTAATAATTCAGTAGTCACATTTATTTGTTGTCAACTTGAATTCAATTAATTTTGGGGATTTAATGAATTTATTCGTGAATTTTCTCTTCCTTTTTTCGTTTTCTTGATAATGTTGTGGGACCCTGAGGATTTTTTATTAATTTTCCTGTACTTCAGTATTTTTTACCAATCATTCGATGATTTCAATGAACAATCAATAATTCAAGGCATGAAATTGTTGATTAATCAATTTAAATGAATTAATATAGAGTATTTTATGAATTTATTAGTGAATTTTCTCTCCCCTCACTTTTACTGATATTTCGTTAATTCTCCTGCAGTCTAGTATTTTCCAATGATTGTTTAATGATTATTGTAAACAATCAACCGTTCCACATACCGAATTACCGTTGCTTTGATTTTATACAGATTCTTATCGTTCCTTCGTTTTTACTTTCACCAGTTCGTCAGTGGTAAATTAATCAATTATTTTTGATTGATTTTTGTTGACAGCTCTACGTCTTTGCACTTGATTCACTCATGCTCACCACGAACAATATCTCCAGTTTATTCGTCATGTTATCACGGGATACGTCATTGTTGACTGATTACTCCTGTTTTTTGCGAGGAATTTTGGTGATTCCCGCATTATTCATCGGTTAACAAATAATTTTAGTTATCTAACCTCGGAATTTTGGGGTTCGGGGGATTGTTGGGGGCTGCGGACACTTGTGACATTTTTTGGAGTTTTGTTTTCGAAGATTTTTGGGGGTTCTCACGGGTTCTGTCGTAGTTTTGCGACGGGAGTTACAGGGGGGAATGGTGGACCTAACCTGACCCCATTCTGGGAATGGAATTCGAGGGGGGATTGCGCATGAATGAGAAGGGGGTGTCCCATTGGTCCTTGAGGACAGGGGGCGGCGGTTTTCATTGGCGGGAGACTATGGCAGAATGAGAATCCATAAAGTTTGAAATTATTTTTCATCAATAATATTCGATAAAAAAACTAATCATTCAGGGACTTTCATTAATTTTTAAACAGTTCTGTGGGGATCCCATTTTTGTTATGGAATAATCCCCGAATTGTTTAATAAATTTAATTATCTAACCATCGGAATTTTGGAGTTCGGGGGATTGTTGGTGGCTGCGGACACTTGTGACATTTTTTGGAGTTTTGTTTTCGAGGATTTTTGGGGGTTTTGTCGTAGTTTTATGACGTGAGTTACAGGGGGAATGGTGGACCTAACCCGACCCCATTCTGGGAATGGAATTCGAGGGGGGATTGCGCATGAATGAGAAGGGGGTGTCCCATTGGTCCTTGAGGACAGGGGGCAGCGGTTTTCATTGGTGGGAGACTATGGCAGAATGAGAATTCATAAAGTTTGAAATTATTTTTCATCAATAATATTCGATAAAAAAACTAATCATTCAGGGACTTTCATTAATTTTTAAACAGTTCTGTGGGGATCCCATTTTTGTTATGCAATAATCCCCGAATTGTTCAATAATTTGCTACTGGATGTTTGAATTTTTCTTCTTGCATTTATCAATAGTTATACACTGTGAAAGTTTCGATAGCGGTCTCACAGACCGGGAGCTCGCTGTAAAGGACAATAATGTCAGAATGAAGATTGAAGGTTTGGCTGTCGTTGCGTAAATCTCCCCAAGGAATGCCATCGCATCCCTCTTCTAGTAATCCTCCTTCAGGTCAGCCCAGTCATCCTTTTGTACGAGGTGGGGCTGAGGCCCAAATAGCGCTTTCCCTCGGTGAGATCGGGACGGCAGGCAGAAAAATTATCCTTAAAATACTTAAAATATATTCTCGAGTCTTTCAGAAACATTTTTCAGACTGTTTTACATGAATAGTGCAATTTTTTATTGAAAAAATAACGAAATTGGCTGTGTATGAGTTGAATTTCAAAAAATCAATTCGCTATTACCCATTGCACGTATTTTTTTCATATTTTGTTTTTCATATTTTGTGGACCAATTGTTATTGCACATATATTTTTTTTAATTGAAAAAAAGAAAGCTCTAGCTCAAAAATTGAAGGCCCTAGACTATTTTTTGACGTCATTTTGAGAAACGGTCCTTATGTGCAGCGCCATCTATTGGGATTCTAGAAAATTCTAGACATTTCGAGGTAAATTGATAAGTCTCTTGAAATTTCGAAATAATTCAAGGAGTTTCTAGAGATTTCGAGGAAATTCCCGGAGTTTCTAGAAAATTCGAGGGAATTCAAGTAGTTTCCTATTTTACGAAAGATGAACGAGACGTGAAGTTGTTTTATATCGAAATATCTTGAAACTGCCTGACCGCTAATCCTCAATTCTGATTGGTCAATGAGTCGCGTGAAGTAGTCGTTGAAAAAAATCCCCGGTATTTTCAAATTCTTCAGATGCCAAAAATTTGTTCTGCGTAATATTTTTCATTTTTTCATGTGTGAAGTTGATCTTTATATCAAAACATATCTAAATTGCCTAATTGTTGATCATGAGAAAAAAAAAACATAGTATTTCTGAATTTTTTTAACCCACAAATTATTCTTCACTTCCCAAATTCTAATTTTTTCATATTTATCACACGCCAAAATGATCAATTCTTGCTTCTCAGATTTTCATACATAAATTCTAAACTCTACAAAATTCACAAAAATTCTTCGGTTTCCCAAATATATCGAGAAAAATCTGCGATTTACTGTTATCTGGAAAACTATGAAATTTTCCGAAGAATTCAAGAAATTTTTTCAGTTTTCTAGGAAATCAATTCATAACCCTCCCCTGATTTTTCAACAATTACAGATTTTAATCAGATTATTTTCAAAAGTAAAAAAAAAGAATTAATCGAAGATTAAAAATTATTCATTGATGCTTCACTCTTCATTCTCTTCATTCTCTTAATTCTCTTTAAGTCATTATCAATTTTTATAAAACATCTATGAGTACATGAAGTTTAATAAATTCGATTTCTTCATTTTTACAACAAAAAGATAAGCGCGCGCACAGATCTAGTATAGAAAATTCGAGAGAATTCAAGGAGTTTTCAGAAAATTTGAGGGAGTGCAAGGGGTTTCTAGGAAGTTCGAGAAAGAAGAAAAGACCCTGGACGTCTCCACAGCCGCCTGCAAAGTTTGCACTAATTATTCATTTTCAGACATATATAATCGATCTTCAATGTATAATACAAATAAATCGCAGTGCAATAGCCTGGGACTTTTTAAACCCGTATTAGTAGTCTCCTCTTAAAATTCGTCGGTCTCCGATATTTGGAAACATTCGAGAAGCGACGAGGATGATTCTGGAGGAGGAAAGCATCTTTGCGGCGGCGGCGGGAGGAAGAAGTCTCTGGAGCCCTCGGCCAAGGGGAGGGGGCACGCGTCTGGGAACACGTGGGGATGGCCCTCAGTCGGCGAGCGACCGCGCGTTTCGACGGTCAACTTGCAACGGAATTGAACGTAAGTGATTTGAATACAAAGAGCAACATCGTATTATTTAATTGAAGTAAATGCCCACGTGAAAGCCACTGCGGCATGTTGAGAATTTTCTGGATTACTAAAGAGACATGGGAATGGAGGGGATAAAAATTGCAGATAGGTGCGATCTTCGATGATTTCTGCGGATTTAACCGATCGTCGAAGTGACTCACTGGGTATTTACTTTAGATATTCCTGACGCTGAGGAGGATTTTAGAGAATTTTCCTGAAACCGGAGGAATGACTTATTTGAATTAGATGAACTTTATTTTAGTCGAATAAGGAAGTAAATTTTTCGTGGAGAACGAATTTGTTGATAAATGGTTTATTTGTTGTTCGTGAAAGATTCATTTGGAATTATCTGTAACTGACACATTTTCACTGACACAAATATAGGATTTTTTTTCTTCCGAATGGAAGCTTTGTAGTAATTCAAATTTAAGTTTTGGATTTTTTGTATTATATCGACTCGGTATGATCCGAAAAGCCCGAAAATGCAATTTTTAGTATGTAACAAAGTTTTTCTTCAATTGTTCGCTAATGAATGGATGGAATTGAATCTTTTTTTTTCAAATGTGGGTATTGTTGAGTCCTATCAATCGCCATCAATTAAAATTTAATTTATCGATTAGTTATTTTAATTTTTTAATTTTTTCGAAAATCGGGTGTCCCACGATCTTTTCCAAAGAAAAGCATGGGCAATATCTCGAATCGAAAGTGAGAACTCGAACATGGTGGATATCTCGAACGAATGAAGAAAGTAAAGCGGTTTTTATGAACACAATCGTCTTGCGTCGAATTTTCATGAAGCCCGCCTATCAAACAAAAGGGAATTCAATACCATTCTATGAAATATGAATAAACGATTCATAATTGTCCAAATCATTTAGCTCAGAGGAAAATAGAATAATTCAACTTTCTTAATATTGCGTTTACTAAGGTTTTCTTCGAACAAAGTTGATTAGAATTAATATCTAGAATTATGAGATTATCTCACATTTTTGACGTTAAGGATAGGAGAATCTGAATGCAATATAGTGAAAATGATGATCGATTTTTTCACTCTGAACAAATAATATTAATATCCAAATACAAAATTTCTGATGTGAATAAAAAGAAGCTGTGACTCAATATTCCAAATGAAGTTTTAATTTTTAATCTGGTGCTGAAAACACGAGATGTCAATATTCTAAGGACGGAATTATTTTGATGAGATGAACAACAAATTAATTGAATTACCGTGTCAACTAACTAAAAATTGATAACAGTGTGGGCACGCACTTTTACCAGAATATTGTAGCGTATTCCCCCTCCTACTATTCTAATTGTAAATGGAGGAGATCATCACGTCTTGGGAGCGATCATCAGATAAAAAAGAAGAGAGGATCGTAACTAAGTTCAAGCCTCCTCCTTAAGTAGAAGAAGAAAGTTCTTGTTTTGTAAATAAATCGCCCTTTTGAATACTTGTGAATCCTTTATTTATTGCTTAAAAGAAACAATATCAACAAATATTGAATTCCAGAAATTCGCACTCTAAAGTGTGTTCTAGAAGGAATTGAATTGTAATTATGATTAAAATCTTATTCAGTGAACATAGGAATTAAAACGAGCTCATTTATCAATATGAAAATTTACCAGCTGATTAATTGGGGGATATGATTCTCATCGGTCGTATTGATATTTTCAATGAAAAAGGGCATAATGACAGACCATCAAAATGATTGATTTACATGAAAATTTAAATTGAAAAAACACGACTGTTTTACCACTTCGTTACTCAATCAGCGATTGAAGCACCTGACCCCAACTAAAAAAACAATCATTTAACCACAACTTAAGAGACGATAAGAAAAAATCGCAGGCAATGTCAGATTAATATCCCCCGAACTTTGATCAGAAATCAAATTACGAAAAAATAAAAATTCCGCGAAGAAGGAAATCAAAGTTCATTCGACAAATGAAGTCAAATCTAGTCACGATGAATAATTCAGATAGCCGTAAAAATGTTGATCGGGCTTTAATTAAAATTCGGGCTTCCTAATTTCAATATTTTTGTTTTGCTTTTTAGCTAATCAACACTCGAAAGTTTGATGATTGAGAGTCACTACAATTTCTTCATTTATTTACTTCATTCGATCACCTCGGGGATGATCCCATAGTCGCATCTAGATGCGATACGACATGATTCACCGGTTCCAGTGGACACAATCGTCCGATTGTGCTGTTTCTGTGGAATAGAGTTGTGAATCACGTGTGCAATTTATATAAGAACATTTTTACCGTCGCCGTTTCGGAAATGATAGCAAGATTCTTGCAGTCGTGAGACGATTGTCTGGATAACGAGGGATCTAGAAGATTTTATTTATCATGCACATGTCGATATTAAAATTTTATCATTTTCAGACATTCTGTCAGACTTATCCGATTTTTTGGTTAATTTCATATTTTTTGTTAAATGAAATTTATAGAAACACATTTTTCGGTTTTAATTGTGGGTCAAATGGTCTTGAGGATCAAACGACCCTTGAGGGCGCGAGGGTTAAGGGTCAACCCTTTCTGATAACCCTTTCTTAAGGGCATTTGAACCTGGACCCTTCACGTTCTTAAGGGTCGTTTGACCCTCAGGACGACTTGATTCTGTTAGTTGAAAAATCTTTTTGTTCTTAGTTGAGGGTCAAATGGTCGTATGGATCAAACGACCCTTGAGGGCGCGAGGGTTAAGGGCCAAATGACCTTTTCTGATAACCCGTTGTCTAAGATCATTTAACCCTGGGCCCTCAACATTCTTAAGGGTTTTTTGACCCTCAACTTCAAACGTTGTTAAGAGTCATTTGACCCTCAGGATGACTCGGTGCTGTCAGTTGACGAACCTTTTTTGTTTTTAGTTGAGGGTCAGATGGTCTTGAGAGTCAAACGACCCTTTATGGCAATCGAGGCTAAGGGTTAAACGATCTTATTGGTCAAACAACCCTTTATGGCGATCGAGACTGAGCGTCAAATGGTCGTATGTGTCGAACGACCCTTGAAAGCCCAAGGCTCCAGGGTCAAATGACCCTTTCTGATAACCCGTTTCTTGAGACCATTCGACTCTTAAACGTTCTTAAGGGTTTTTTTATCTTCAAAACCATTTGACCCTCAACTTTAAACGTTCTCAAGGGTCGTTTGACCCCCAGAACAATTGAATACTAAGATAATTTAGTATCTGAAACAGCGGGGACACAATTTAGGAAATTTTTGTTTTTAATCCAGGGTCAAATGGTCTTGAGGGTTAAATGGCCCTTTTGGTGATCCAAGCTAAAGCTCAAATGGTCGTATGGGTCAAACGAAACCTAAGGCCGTTTGTAATTGAGGGTCAAATTGTCGTAAGGGACAAATGACCCTTGAAGACGTGTAGGATTAAGGGTCAAGTGACCCTTTTTAATCGCCCTGCTCTAATCCGTTTGGCCCTTAAGCCTAATCGTGAGGGTCAAATGACCGTTAAAGCCGTTTGGAATTGAGGGTCAAATTGTCCTAAGAGACAAACCCCCCTCGAACGCGAGTAGGATTAAGTCGAGTGACCCTCTCTGACCGCTCTTTTCCAATCCACTTGACCGTTAATCCTAAGCATTCTTAAGGGTCGCCCGACCCTCAAAACCATTTGACCCTCACCTAAAAATTTGAAAAACAGTTTCCTGAGTACTATTTTTCCTGGTATTTCATTTTCCACTGCTCTCCTCTACAATCATTGACTTTTAGGATGATTCGGGTGATAACCGTAACCTGTGGAACCCTCGGGCTCGCCATGGTCTTCCTCCTCGTGCTGATATTTACCTTGAGTGAGACTGCGAGGTACAGGCTTAAATTCCTGATATTCCTCATCGGCGCGGCATTCGCCACGACTTGGCCCTTGCCTCTTATGCTCCTGCGTCCCAAGCACTGGAAGAATGCCCTGTAAGTCAACCTCAACCCTCCACAATAGTCTAGATCAATGAAAAATACGGAAAGAAATTTGAAAAACCCGCACAGAGAAAAATCGTTTTTTTTAATACACTAATAATTTCTCCAGAATTCCAGCTTGGCAATTGCGAAAGATTCTCAACCTCATAGGCCTGAAATTCGTGGTCCAAGGGAAGGAAAACATTGTAAAAAATTCTGGCGCTGTTATCGTCATAAACCACCAGAGTGGGCTCGACCTTGGCGGTGAGATAACACTTCCTTTTCGAATTTAAAAATAAATTTCTGTTCTCATATATTTTTTTCAATTTTAAGTTGAAGATTTTTATTCAACGTAACCATTTGCACATTATTAGTCGCAGCCGAAAATTCAATTTAAATGCCGTAAAAATGGCGGGAAAATATCGAGAAATCATTTGAATGAAATGAATTGTAAAAAGAGAAATAAATTGTAAAAATAATTTAATTTGAAGTGACGAATAAAATTGATGACTTGTTCAGTTCTAGCTGAACTGTGGCCAGTAATAGATAACTGCACGGTGATAGCTAAGAGGGAGATCCTGATGTACTCGGGATTCTTCGGCCTGGCAGCATATATGTGGGGAACGATATTCATCAATCGTGAGAAAAAAAAGACCGCGCAGGAGACGTTGAATTCGACGGTTGAGATCATAAAGGGGAGTGAGTCGAAGCTGCTGCTGTTTCCCGAGGGCACGAGGCACTCGGAAAACACACTGAAGCCCTTCAAGAAGGGCGCCTTCCACGTGGCCATCGCTGCGCAAACGCCGATTCAACCTGTGGTCGTGTCGAAGTACTATTTCGTGAATGATAGGTTGAAGAAATTCGGATCAGGTGAGGGGAATATCTCGGGAAAAAGGGGCTCTGGTGGAGAATGGTTGAGGGTCGGACGACCCTTAAAAATGTCTGGGGCTAAGGGTGAAATGGTCTTGAGGGTCTAAGGGTATTAGAATGATGAGAAAGGTCATTTGACACACAAGACAATTTAACCAACTCGAAACACTTTCAAGAGTCGACCCTTACGATCATTGGGTGGTTTGACCCTTAACTCCTAACGTCCTGAAGGGTTGTTCGACTTTTACTATTATTTGACCCTTACCCCGAACGTCAGTAAGGGTCATTTGATCCTTGAGAACATTTTTTGTTTTGGTTTTAGTTGAGGGTCGAACGGCCCTTGAGAACGTGTGGGGTTGAGGGTCAAATGGTCTTAAGGGTTTAATGGGCTGAATTAGGGTGATCAGAAAGGGTCTCAGAATCTGACCCGTATGCTTGCACGTCTTCGAAGGGTCAGTCGACCCTCAACTCCAAACACCCTCAAGGGTCGACCCTTACGACCATTGGGCTCTTATCTCTACTTCATTAAAGGTCGTTTGACTCTCAATTCCAAGAGTCCTTAAGGGTCGGTTGACTTTTACAACTATTTGATCTTTACCCCGAACTTGAGTAAGGGCCATTTGACCCTTAAAAACAATTTTTGTTTTGATTTTTGTTGAGGACGACCTTTGAGAACGTGTGGAGTTGAGGATCAAATGGTCTTAATCAATGGTCTAACGGCTTAGATGAGGATGATCAGAAAGGGTCAATTGACCCTTCGATACCCTTTGGCACGTCCTCAAGGGTCGACCCTTATGACCATTGGACCGTTATCTCAACTTCATGAAGCGTCGTCTCATTCTCAAAATAATTTCATCCTCAACTTCAAACATCGTCAAGGGTCGACCCTTACGTCCATTCAACCCTTAGAGGATGGCATTTTCTCATTACTAAATATTTTTGACTCAGTTATTCATTTAATTAATATCAAAATATTAGATATATATCTTTTCTATTCCGATAAATGATAAAAAAATGACCTAAATACATCTTCTTCAGGGACTAGTTACATAAGGATTCTCCCACCAATATCGACCGAGGGACTGAAGAAAGAGAATCTTGAGGAAGTGATGAACAAAACTTGGGAAGTGATGAATACGGAATTCCAGAAAGTCAACGAGGAAGTAAAGAGACAAATCGAGACAAAAAAACTTGACTAAATATTACAAAAATTCCATTACGAGCAAAAATCCTCGCAAAATTTTTCTAATTTCTGGTGAAGAAATTTCTCCAAGCGTCCAGTGAACTATTAAATTCCCAAATATTTTATAATGTTCTGTATTTATATGTATAAAGATGTTAATATTGTCTTTGTAATAAATTATTTCACACAAAATACGACATTTTTTTTTCTAAAACCACTCACTAAATGAAACGATTCCTTAATTAATAATTTAAAAAAAAATTGAAATTATACTTACTTTATCGATTCTTTCTAACTAATTATCAAATTATCTCATTAACAAGCGGATTTAGGCAAAAATGTCTAGGAACCTTTTTTATAGCTCATGAAATTTCCTACAAAAGATATGACATTTCTTCTTAAAACCGCTTATCACCGAGATAATCCTGAAATGAACGAGAAAGGATGAAAAGGGGCGGAAAAGAGGAATCACTTATTCATTGAATAATGATTTTCCGTATCCATTTGTACTCAAATATCATTTATTCCTTTTCCACAAATATCCTAGGTACATTTTGATCATCAGTCGGTGCCTTGTAGCCCCGCGGAGACTGGCTATGAACTTTAATACAAAAAAAAAAAATTGCCATCGCCATCGTCTCCATCCCTAAACGTAATACTAACAATTATCTCCTCATTCTCACTTAAACGATTAAAAATTCATTTACAAGTTTCAAGCATCGATTCAATTGAAATTTAATGTACACCGTCGATTTATTCATACATTGTAATTCCGATACACTAGTTCATTCAATTACTAATAAATTAAATTTCAAAGAAAAATTGTACAAATTTTTAATTACTGTGGACCTATTGCTTGACGTTATTAATTAGTTAGAGGTAATTGGGTTTTCAATTTCGTTGATTTTTCATTATTGGTCAACTCTTTTCTACTTTCGCACTGAGAAAAATCGTCTTGAGGCGATGGAAATGGACTCAGTGTTGGAAACAAGGGGCTTCGAACGTCGACTATTTTACCCTTACCCTTGAACGTTCTTAAGGGTTGTTTGACCCTTAAGACCGTTTGACCCTGAAATATCAGGGAAAGTGACTACTTGACACAAGTCAAGAAACTTTTTTTTGTTTTTAGTTTAGGATCAAGCCACCCTGCACGACGTTCGAGGCTAAGAGTCAAATGATAATCGTAAGGGTCAAACGACCCTTAAAGGTTGAAACGACCCTAAGCGCTTTTGGAGTTGAGGATCAAATGATCGTAAGGGTCAAACGACCCTTAAGCACGTTTGCAGTTGAGGGTCAAATGACCCTTTCTGATCACTCCGATCTAACTCGCTTGACCCTTAGGACCATTTTACCCTTAACCCCGAACGTTCTTAAGGGCTGTTTGACCTTCGAGGCCATTTGACCCTGAAATATCAGGAAAAATGACTACTTAGCACAATTCAGAAATTTTTTTTTTGTTTTTATTTGAAGGTCAAACGACCCTCGATGACCTTTGGAGCTGATGGTCAACTGATCGTAAGGGTCAAACGACCCTTACGCACGTTTGGAGTTGAGGGTCAAATGACACTTTCTGATCAGTTAAATTTAACTCGTTCGACCCTTGAGACCATTTGCTCCTTAACCTTGAACGTTCTTAAGGGTTGTTTGACCCTTAACTAGAAGCAAAAAAATCTCCCTTTTTCACTCTAATGATTTTTGACCACTTATTCATCAGTCAGTTATCTCGGTAATGAGGGGATTTAGGAGAAAATGTCGTTCGATCTTTTTTGTAGGAAATTTAATTCTCTACGAAAAATATCTTGTCACATTTTGCCCCAAAACCTCTCATTACCAAGATAATTAACGAAAAAGTCGAAGAGAACGAAAAATAAGTTGAGAACTGAAGTTTCCGGTAATCATGATGTGAAATAACAAATTTTCTGAAGTGAAATTTGAGTTATTCAGCACAGAAATTCGACCTACAAAATCACCATCCCTATTACCAATGACTCTCAAAAGTCATTTGTTGATTTTAAATAATTCACTACTCGACGATTAGAGAACTATTTAAATTGATTTATTCATTTATACCAATAAATAAATAAAAAGTAAAAAAGTTCTCCCATGAAATCGTCTGAAAATAAATTTTCCTGGCTCTCTAACGAGCCCATTTCCACCCCTCCTACTCTCGCCTTTAATTGAAAATATTTACAAAACAAAAAATAATCAATAACGTCTGGACTATCGATAAGCCTATCGACATTGATAATATAATTTTTCTCAGTGCGTAGTAATCCATGATAAATTGCAATAAATCCGCTCAATAATTCCCATCGAATTGAAAATTAATAATAAACCCTCTAATACTGATTATCAATTAATCATTAATTTTCGTGTAATGACTGCAAGAGCACTAGAAAAAATCACATGTTCACTGCACCCAGGGGATTCGTCCCATTCTAACTGAGTCACCGGTCGGTATCTTACAATAAATAATTGTAAACGGTTGTACAATTGTTCAGTTAGCAGTGAAGTGGCCCAACACTTGAATTTCTCACATTTCGTTTATATTTTCACGATTATCTCCGTAACGAATCGATTTACAAAAAAATGCCATAAAACATTTTTCATAGAGAATTCAATTTCCTACAAAAAATGTCTTATCACATTTTCCCCTAAACCCACTCATGACCGAGATAATCACCCAATTAACAAAAAAAACTTCATGTCGACCCTGGATTACTTCATTAATACCATTTCCTCATTGCTCGTTTATCTCGTTCACGATCGATCCTACGAGGAAATGCTCCTGAACCTTTTTTGCAGAGAATAAAATTCCCCACAAAAAATGTTATATGAAATTTCTCCCTAAACCGACTTGTTCTCCGGATAAATCCACTTCACTCTGGATCTCAAAAAAAAATTCCCAAAAAAGTTCGAAAATAATCCTCCCACGACTTCTAATACTTCTCGACTCGAGAAATCATTATCTCCGGGTCACAAGGGCTCCCAGAGGGTTGAGAAAAAATCATCAGTAACAAAAAGAGAATTACGAACCTCAGGGGAAAATTGATAGTCTCGCAGTCTTTGAAATTTCTCCTCGAAATCCACCGGAGTTATCTCGAGCTCGACGAAATCATCATCGCCTCGTCATCATCATCATCATCATCATCGTCCTCAACGTGTCCCTCCAGTTTCAATGGATCCAGGAAAACTTCTCGTGATGAACTCAATTTATTTCTGTTTTTTTTTAAGGGATTAAACTAGGGTGCACTGTGTTCACTCAGTTTAAACGTCCTGAATACGGTCTGTCGGGAATTCGGGGAGGAATTGTGGGTACTGGGCGCCTACAAAACATATATCAAACATAAATAAATCGTCATCAATAATTATAAACAAGAAAGATGATAATTTCAATCCGTGAAGAAGAAAAATTCATCTCAATTTTTTCGTTCATTTCTTCTCAAGCAGTTTTTATTGATTTTGAGGGGGTGGGGGGGAGGTATGGGGGTCAAAAATGACCCCATCGGAAGGCCGGGAAAATTTCCGATTCAAAACACTGGCCATGAACCCATTTTGACCCGGCCCTTTTCCGAAAATAAATAAAAACCCCTTATCCAGATGAAAATTTGGTTCTTTAATATCTTGAGGTCTACCGGGGCAAAATGGGTTCATGACCGATGTTTTGAAACGAAAAAATCCCTGGCTGTCCAGTAAAAAATATTCCCCCCCCCCGAGATTTTCAAAAATTAATTAAATTAATTACGTGAAAATTGTTTTCAATTTTTGGTAATTAATTATCTTCTCCGCAAATTGATGTGATTGATTGAAAAATTGAATGCAATGACATAGTGCACACAGAAACAACTAAAAAAATTGAGGAAATCATGCGGAAAGCAAAGCAAAAGGACAGGGAGATGATAGATATAAGAGTAATGAGGAAATTAATTGATGAGATAATGAGATGAGGATGGGACACAAACACATGGAGTTAATTAATAAATAATCGAACGTCTGAGCTCACATCTCTCACGTCTGTACCTGATTGGTGACCAGAAATGCGTGACTGTACGTTCTCGTGAGTATTTTTCAATTATTTTAATTCTTTAGATAATTTCTCATCGTTTTTTCATTCCTCTTATCGAATAAACTATAACATATTACTTGCTATATACACATTTATATTGCTTTAAACGGTGTGTAGCCCTTCGCAGCAGAGGCATGCCTATTTTATTCTGTGTCGAGTAACTAATTGCGTAATTGGGGGAGAAAATAAAATGGGAAAAAAGGAAAAGTAACTGTTCAGGATAATTTAGGGATTTTTTTGTTTTTAGTTGAGGGTCAAATGGTGTTGAGGGTCAAATGACCCTTGAGAACGTGTAGGATTGAGGATCAAATGACCCTTTCTGATCACTCTGATCTAACTCGTTAACCCTTGGAACCATTTTACGCTTAACCCTGAACGTTCTTAAGGGCTGTTTGACCCTCGGGACCAATTGACCCTGAAATATCCGGAAAAATGACTACTTAGCACAATCCGGAAAACGTTTTTTTGCTTTTGGATGAGGGTCAAGTAACTCTGAACGACGTTGTCACTAAGGGTCAAATCATCGTAAGGGTCATAAAACCCTTAAGCACATTTGGAGTGCAGGGTCAAATGACCGTAAGGGTCAAAAGACCCTTAAGCACGTTTGGAGTTAAGGATCAAACGACCCTTACGCACGTTTGTAGTTGAAGGTTAAGTGACCCTTTTTGATCGCTCCGATCTAACTCGCTTAACCCTTAGAACCATTTTATCCTTAACCCTGAATGTTCTTAAGGGCTGTTTGACCCTCGCGACCATTTGACCCTGAAATATCCGGAAAAATGACTACTTAGCACAATCCGAAAAACGTTTTTTTGCTTTTGGTTGAGGATCAAGTGACTCTGAACGACGTTCGGGGTTAAGGGTCAAATGATCATGAGGGTCAAAGGAACCTTAATGACCCTCGAGGTTGAGGGTCAATGATCGTAAGGGTCATACAACCCTTAAGCACGTTTGGAGTTAAGGATCAAACGACCCTTACGCACGTTTGTAGTTGAAGGTTAAGTGACCCTTTTTGATCGCTCCGATCTAACTCGCTTAACCCTTAGAACCATTTTATCCTTAACCCTGAATGTTCTTAAGGGCTGTTTGACCCTCGCGACCATTTGACCCTGAAATATCCGGAAAAATGACTACTTAGCACAATCCGAAAAACGTTTTTTTGCTTTTGGTTGAGGATCAAGTGACTCTGAACGACGTTCGGGGTTAAGGGTCAAATGATCATGAGGGTCAAAGGAACCTTAATGACCCTCGAGGTTGAGGGTCAATGATCGTAAGGGTCATACAACCGTTAAGCACGTTTGGAGTTAAGGATCAAACGACCCTTACGCACGTTTGTAGTTGAAGGTTAAGTGACCCTTTTTGATCGCTCCGATCTAACTCGCTTAACCCTTAGAACCATTTTATCCTTAACCCTGAATGTTCTTAAGGGTTGTTTGACCCTCGCGACCATTTGACCCTGAAATATCCGGAAAAACGACTACTTATCACAATTCAGAACACTTTTTTTTGTTTTTATTTGAAGGTCAAACGACCCTCTATGACGTTTGGAGCTGATGGTCAAATGATCGTAAGGGTCAAACGACCCTTAAGCATGTTTGTAGTTGAGGGTCAAATGACCCTTTCTGATCAGTCAGATCTAACTCGTTCGACCCTTGAGACCATTTGATCCTTAACTGTGAACGTTCTTAAGGGTTGTTTGACCCTTAACTAGAAGTAAAAAAATCTCCCTTTTCACTCTAATGATTTTGATCACTTATTTATCTGTTAGTTATCTCGGTAAAGAGTGGGTTTAGGAGAAATTGTCTTTCGACCTTTTTTGGAGGAAATTTAATTCTCTACAAAAAATATCTTGTCAACTTTCGCTCCAAAACCTCTCATTAGCAGGATAATTAATGAAAACGATAAAAAAGTTGAAAACTGAAGTTTTCGGTAATCATGATGTGAAATAAAAAATTTCCTGAAGTGAAATTTGAGTTACTCAGCACAGAAATTTGACCCACAAAATCACCATCCCTATTACCAATGACTCTCAAAAGATGATTTCATCATAGTCTCTCTCGTACTCGTTTAAATACTGAACTTTACAATCAAAATTACACTTATTCACGTGATGCACGAAGTAAGCGTTCATAATTAACTCCTTATTTATACATAAAATGTAAGGCTGTAGATGGAAGCATGTATAACGTGTCCACCGAGTAAAGTTCGTCATCGATAATATTTCTTTCAATTTTTTCTATTTATTCATTTATCTTCATTTGTTGATTTTAAATAATGCACTACTCGACGAATTTAGGTTTTTATGCAATTGGAGTTTGTTAATTGTTTAATTGTCTCGTGTCAGTATCAACGAACAAAACTCGATTTTACAGATACAAAGTTTCGGGGAATTAATTGGAAAATCAAACGGCAAAATCAATATGAAAATACGGAAATTAAATAATAATTCATAATTTGACAAAAATATAAATTTTTTAGGGAGAAAAAATATTTTTAAAAATTTTAAATCACACAATATTGATAAATAATTGCATTGAATGATAAAAATGGAAAATATGTTGTAAACAATTTTTATTATTACAAGACTGATCGATTTTCATTTGAAAAAATCAATTATTTATGAAAAAGTTGGAATTTGTCAACAACAAAAAATCTAGTAAAATTGGCTAATCATGAAAAAATGTTTTTAAACAATCGTTTGACACAACAAGAATGAAAATTGAATATTGAAAAATTTTTACTCATGAAAAGTCGATTGATTTTAATTAACAAAATCAGTTTTTATGGGAAAATTGAGATTTTTCAATGAAAAAAAAATTATTAGAAAATATCCAAATGATCTATATATCATTACAATTGATTTTTCACCTAAAAAATCCAAAAGTTGACCATTATATTGAATTTTTCAAATAAACCATTATCGAAATCTGCTTGCAAAACTCAAAAAATCGGTTTAAAAAATGAAAGAAAATTTTTTTTTACCAAAAAATGGAGATTTTTCAGTCAAAAAAATTATTATAGAATATAGAAATGATCTATATATCATTTCAATTGATTATTCATTTAAAAAACCCAAAATTTAACAATTATATTAAATTTTTTTAACAAACAATTCTTAAAATCTGCTAAAAAGGCTCTAAAAAACCATTAAAAGTCGGTTTAAGGCTCGGGTATACTATCTTTCGAATGTTATCTGGATTTTTTTTATCTTTCGTAATCCAAAATTGTCAAATGAATGGTACATCATGTATAAATTCGCAAAAATTATGATAGAATGATAAAAAAAAAATAGAAAAAATTCTGAACTTTTTCAAAGAGCATTTTTAGTTGAGATTCAGAATGAGTTGAAAAAAGTGAAAATTACAAATATCTGATTCGCTGTGGTAAATTATGTATTAGCTATCATTTTTCATGGTGGATAACAAAACACTAACTCCTCATGGGAAGTGACAGCTAGGTATCTCAATTTTCAAAACAGTGGTATGTAGTCATCTGCCATTTTTACGTGATAAAAGTGTGATTAAAAAATTCTCCAAAATATTACAACTTTTTTCAAAGAGCCTTTTCCGTAATAAATGTCTCTGTGCAGTGTGGGAAAAGATTTACGAAATCAGTCTTCCCCCTGCATGATATTGGGTGACAGGCCGCCATTTGTCATCGTAAATCAGATACATTGTTCAATTTCTTGTTATTCAACTTATTCTGAATATAAATTAAAAATGCTCTTTGAAAAAATTAAGAATTTTTTCTACTTTTTTAAAATTATTCATTCATAATTTTTCAAAACTTCTGCATGATGCAGGACGTAATTGACAATTTCAGATGACGAAAGCAGAGATGGGCATAATCATAAATTATCATTACCATTAATTTAATAAATACTCAATCAAGTAATAGAACTTAACAATTTTCAATTATTAAATTAATCAACAATTAAATATTTAAATTCCGAATTATTTTACCAATCAAAAATCGAATTCGGAAGAATGACGATTATTTGATAATCTCTAGTATTTTTTAGAAAATTTCCAATTATTTACCTAATAGTTATTTGAAAAATTTAATTTCTCAATTATTTATTATTTTCCAAGTTCCGATGATAAACGAATGAATTCGGTTATTTTGGGGAAAAAATTCTCTTAATATTTCTGGAATAATGATTTATGCCGATCACTGAACGAAAGATAAAAAAAAACATCGAGACAACGTTCGAAAGCTAGTACCCCCGGGCCTTAATGTTTAAATAAAGGCGCAAATCCAAATTTTCCAATCAATCTCCAAAACTTCCTCCCCCATCCCCTCCCCCTAAACAACCACTCGTGCACGATTCCCTACAACAATAATAATCCACTTATCTCAAATAACCATTACAAACTACCCTTTACACTCGACGACTACAATAATAATATCTCCAATAATTAATAATTAATATTTTATTCACCCCCCCCCCTGAACGACCTCCAGTCCCACCATTCAAATACCTACAAATTAATAATCATTAACAATATGCATCGAAGTGCTCATACCTCCAATGAAACCTCACGTTCTCCCACAAGTTATTCTTACACTAATCTTCACAATGGTTCACAAAAGCGGGCAATAACACGTTGGGAACAGCGTCGACTGCTCAACGACGATAAAAAGCCCTACAATGTCAGCAATTATCTCCATTGTTTATAATCTCAGTTAATTAATCAAAAAGTGGTTTTAGACAATTTGAAAATACTGGAATTACTCCGAAGTGGTCGTAAAATTGGTTAATTGACTTGTCAATGTCAACGAAGAAGCGTATCCAATCATCACTTTATTTAATTTTTTCTCAATAATCATCATTAGCAAATTGTCATCAACAATTGACAACAGTGATTCAATCCCATTTAATTAAAATAAATCAATGACATTTTTGAAAATTTTCCTGCACCACTCGACAGCTCGCAAAATTTCCGCTTCCAAACCCTAGTCACAAGCCCATTTTGCCCCACAAAATGGGTTTATAACCAGGGTTTTGCAGAGAGAATTTTCCGGACTGTATAAAAAAAAATTCCATTTATGTCGATTTTTTAAATCGAAAACAATTTGTTTATCGGCAAAATTCATCGATTTACGTTAATTAGTGGTTAATTACTTATTTATGAATTGAATAACTCAATCAGTGACTCGAGGCTCATAAACTCCATGTTCTCAACCCTTCGTTGTTCACATCTATTCAAATATTTATGACTCATGTAATTTGTTTTATTCAAATATTCCTCTATTAATTTTTCAAAGATAATAATATTCTTCTACACAAAAACTAATTGATATGCGCGTGTTTTTTTTTTCACAATCAATCATTCTCATGCTGATCACCAGCGGTTCGAACTTGAAATCTCCCGTAAATTTTCTACAATTTTTACGCTAAATAAACAATTTTAAAGAATAAAAAAATTACCGATAGTTTTTCGAATTTTTAATTGTTCATTAGTCGTTAAATTTGACGCTTTTAAATAAACAATTTTCATCAATGGCCTACCGAACGTGGGGTTATCCTACAAGCCCTAGTTTGTCTTTTATTTTCATTAATTAATGCAATTTGCAACAACAATTGATATATTTTTAACATAGATCTCTCGTTTTTTCTCTCTCTCTCTTTTCGCTTTTTGTTGATTTTGTAATCTCATTTTTGACTTTTGCCAAGTCTACCGACTCTCAGGTATTGCAGTGCATTCTATGGCATCTTTGTTCACCATTTATTTAATTGTTTACTGTACAGTAACATTACAATAATCCACTTGTGGTTTTTTTTTCATTTATTTATTTAATTTTCTCTGGTTTCTGGGAAATTCCCGCGGTCGATACGAGTAATAATTAACAATAATGACTAATTATTTGTTAACAATTGATAATAATCAACAATTATTCGTCTGCAACAATTGTTTATCGATTATTATTAATTATTAATTAATAATAATTAATAATTTTGGTGATAATTATCGGGTTATTGTTAAAAATTATCATTAATCGCAATAATTATGTACATCTGAGGATGGGGAGGGAGTAATTAGGCCTGGATAATTGTTCATTAATTAATTATAGAGGGAAATTGGAAATTTGGAGTGGAAATTTGTTTTTTCTTGCGTTAATTTTTGGAATAATTAAATGACGATTGATTTTTCGGTGGATTATCTACTCGCTGTAATTTCGGGATTACAATTAGTGTCGAGTAGTTTTTTTTTTTCACCAACAGCATGACACATTTATTTATTTATTTTTGCATTTGTTATGCTGTTTTTTTTTAAATTTTCTGCCCTCATGCAGGAGATTATTATCACTAGATTCGTCAGTGCAGACAGAATTATTATCTATTATTTTTGGTAGACTTTTCAAGGATTTTTCTGAACACAATGAGATCGGCTGGAGAGGAATTAATTAACGGTAATTAATTAATTGAATAAACATCGGTGGAGTTGTGGAGGAGATGCAGCGAGAGTTGATGGATTTATTGAGTACTTTGGGGATATCTTGGGATCTACTGGGCTTGGAGAAAATTGTTGAGACTTTTTTGGAGGAAATTTAATTCTCTAGAAAATTGTCTTTTGACTTTTTCTTGTAAAATGACTCATTACCGAGATAATTAAGTAATTAACAATCAGAAATTGTGGTTTTGAATCTTACGTCTCATTATTATTGTTTAATTATCTCAGAAATTATTGATTTTTGAGGAAAATGTCAGATGACTTTTTTGTAGGAAATTTCATTCTCTACAAAATTGTCTTATGACTTTTTCTTCTAAAATGAGTTATTACCGAGATAATTGAATAATTAACAATCAGAAATTTTGGTTTTGAATTTTACGTCCCATTTTTATTGTTCAATTATCTCAGAAATTTTTTATTTTTGAGGAAAATGTCACATGACTTTTTTGTAGGAAATTTCATTCTCTACAAAATTGTCTTATGACTTTTTCTTCTAAAATGACTCATTATCGAGATAATTGAATAATTAACAATCAGAAATTTTGATTTTGAATTTTGTCCCATTATTATTGTTTAATTATCTCAGAAATTATTGATTTTTGAGGAAAATGTCAGATCACTTTTTTGTAGGAAATTTAATTCTCTACAGAATTGTCTTATGACATTTTCTTCCAAAATCACTCGTTATCAAGATGATTAATAAATTAATAAACAAAAACTGGACTCGACTCAAATAAACCCGATCTAATTGTCATTCTCCAATTACCTCATTAACAATTCATTTTCTGAAAGAACCTCAGGCCATTAATTCTGCAGAAAATGAAATTCTCTCCAAAAATGTATTGAAATTTTCTCCCAAGTCTTTTTATTCCTAAAATATTCTCAAAAATCCATCGGCCCCATCCCTCGCTGAATCCCCTCGAATGCTCAACTAATACTTCGAATTAAATTAAATAAATCAACGAATCCACTCAGCATTCATGCAAAAATAGAGAGCAGACCCAAAAAATTTGAAACCCCCCATCTCTACCTAAAAAATCAGACAGAAAAGAATAAAAAAAGGTAGAAAAATCGCCAAAATCGACTGTAAAAAATCGAAATTAATGCAAAAATTTCCCCTGAACAGTCTACCATCTACAGATTACCATAAAGAGTGTCTGTTACAACGAGACATCGGCATCTCATCACACGAAAGCTACAGCAACTCGTAAGATCAATGAAATTGTCTCAGCGACTTCAATCATTTCATTAGAATATTCAGCATCATTTTAATTTCTTTAGTTATTAATATTAGTATCTTTTGCTCTATTTACTTGATCCTGAATGCATCCATGAGCTCGTTGACTGCGGCATTAGCGGCTGCCTGTGTCGCTGCCTGCGTCACCCTCTGTTGGATACCCCCTCGACTAAACAACAACCACGTAACAGGCTTTGAGGTTTTGCTCCAATTTTATATCGCAAAATCATCTATTTACAATTTTTTAGCCTCATTTTGACTCGTGCCATCAGATTACCAGGAAAATTTACGATATCAAACACTGGTCATAAACCCATTTTGCCCACATATTTCGGAAGATAGTTTATGAGAAGTGAAGACTGGATTTTTGGATTGATGAATGAGTTCATTAAATTGATTGAAAATTTATTTCATTTTTTTGTTATTTATAAAATAATAAAATTGATTAAAGGTGTTAAATTTTGGTTTTGGTGATTGAAGAAATTATTTACGATAATCTTGGAATCATTTAAGGTTTTTAAATAATTTTTTTCATCGAAAAGTCTCTATTGTTTCATAAAAATGCGATCATAAAATATAAATAATGAAAATTGATTGTAGTTTTTTTTTCAATGATTTTAATTGATTAAAATAGTTAAATTTTGGTTTTGTTGATTGAAAGAATTGTTTATGATGATCTTGGGATCATTTTAGGTTTTTAAATAATTTTTTTCATCGAAAAGTCTCTATTCTTTCATAGATATTCCATTATTTAAATAAAATTAATTAAAATCATTAAATTTTGGTTTTGTTGATTGAAGAAATTATTCATGATGATCTTGGGATCATTTAAGGTTTTTAAATAATTTTTTTCATCGACAAGTCTCTATTGTTTCATAAAAATTCGATCATAAAATATAAATAATGAAAATTAATTGTAGTTTTTTTTCAATGATTTTAATTGATTAAAATAGTTGAATTGTGGTTTTGTTGATTGAAGAAATTATTTATGATGATCTTGACATCATTTGAGGATTTTAAAATATTTTTTCTCATCGAGAAATCTCTGTTCTTTTATAAAAATTCAATTATTCAATAAAAAATTGATGAAGTTGCTATTGAAATCATGAAAATTAATTGTCAGTTTTTATTTTTTAATGATTTCAATTGTTTATTATGAACTTGGGATCATTCAAGGATTGTTAAATAATTTTTTTTTCATCGAGAAATGTCAATTTTTCCATAAAAATTTCGTTCTTCAATCACAATTGATTGTTACTTCATGAAAAAAATATGGAGATTCAATTTCCATTTTTATTGTTTAAAAAAATTGTTCAAAAATATTTTTTGATGATTGAAAAATTTTTCTAGATTTTTTCAGTTGAAAAATCTCTATTCTTTCATGAAAATTCGATTATTTTGTTGAATTTGATGAACTTTCTATTGAAAAAATGTATAAAAATCAATTCTCAATTTTCATTGTTTTATGTAATTGTTTAAAAGTATTTTCTGGCGATTTACAATTGTATCATCATTTTTATTTGTTGAAGAATCTAAAGTTTTTAATGAAGACCGAATTTTTAGAAGAAAATCGCGAATTTTTGCAATATTTTTTGTTATTATTGCAACTGGATTTTAATGTATTCTTTCTTGTGTGAAATTAATAATAATTTTCAGTTTCAGAGACATCAAATGCGTTTATGACCTTCATTTTTAACCAGAAAATTTCCTAGACATCTAATTAACAAGACGTCACTAATTAATTTTCAAAAATAATTTCTCAAGTTCGTTAATCAATTCTTCCGATTTTTTCACTAATTTCCGATATTTTCCTCTTTGTTTATTACTTTTTCATGGTGTTTATGAGCTACTATGCAGGCACCGACATTTGGAACTATCAACACCCGAAAATAACAATAACAATATCTATTGATTTTCTAAATTTTCAAAATCAATTTTTTCTTTTTTTTTAGTTTCAGGATTAAATTTCTGAAGCGTAAGAACCGACCAGTTAGCGATATTCAAAGCCTTTTTTCGTGTCATGCTGTTAGTAAATAACAATCTCATTCGTTCATAATTTTAAATCAACAATTTTTTCGTTCATTCTGATCCAATAATTATTCTTACATTACAATAGGCTCAGGGAGACAGCAGTCGAAAGCAGAGATTCGTAAATAGAAAAATAAATAAAATATGTGAGATTTTTCAATTGTTCTGCACTAATTAACCACCATCTTTCACTAATTGAAATATCTCTGCAACGATTTTACGAAAAAAAAAGAACAAAAAAGCGAGTTAATAAAGCAGAATAATTGAATTCATAGTTCATTTAATCAATCAATTAATTAATTGATTGATTAATTAATGCGATTGTTCCGTAGGACCCTCTGAGTTTCCTAATTCAACTAAAAAATATGGAAAGACTGATCTTTTCTATCAAATTTAATGACAAACAAAACAATTCTCCACAAAAGTTGGAAAAAGAAATAAAGAACGAAAAGTCGATAATATGATTAAAAAACAGACAAATGAAGCAGAAACTTTGAGAATGAATATAAATAAAGACACCATTAATTAACAATGATCTTTTACTAATATAAATATCTCTCCAACGATTTTACGAAAAAAGAGAACAAAAAAGCGAGTAAATAAAGCAGAATAATTGAATTCATAGTTCATTTAATCAATTAATTAACTAATTGATTGATTAATTAATGCGATTGTTCGGTAGGACCCTCTGAGTTTCCTAAATTCAACTAAAAAATATGGAAAGACTGATCTTTTCTGTCAAATTTAGTGACAAACAAAACAATTGTCCACAAAAGTTGAAAAAAAGAAATTAAAGAACGAGAAGTCGATAAAATTAATAAAAGACGGACAAATGAATCAGAAATTCGGACAATGAATATGAATAAAGACAAATTTATCGACCCGAAGGAGGAAAAAGCGAACAATTACAATTGTTTATTCGTAAACTCTTCAAATAATCTCATTTATCAATTTTTCTCTAGTTACAGACTAAAACGTTGACTAGATTAATGCAACAGGTTAATGTATACTGATTAGTAGATAAAGGACGTGTTAGTGCGGAGACTTATTGTCGGCGCCTGCAATAGAAAGTGAAGTTAGCATCCATAAGCCAAATGCCACGCAATTAACACATTTTGCAGTGGTCAAGGGGTAAAAGGGTGGATTATCTTGAGAGGGGGTGAATCTACTGAAAAATGTAACACGACATTTTTTGTGGGGAATTTAATTTTCTACAAAAAAGATGTTGTGACATTTTCTCGGTGAGGGGCTCATTGCGGAGAACTTGATCATGATTTGACATTTTTCTGCCTCGAAAGGATTTTTTTGTTTTAAAAAATTATTTTAAAAAATTTTAAAATTTTCCTCTAATTCAATGTATTCCACTCATTAATTTCATAATTATCTCAATCAGAATTTCCTCAAAATATCCAAATACTTCTTTCACCCCTTAATTGACACATTGCCGGTAGTCAAGGGGTAAAAGGGCGGATAGCTTGAGAGGGGGTGGATCTACTGAAAAATGTGACACGACATTTTTTGTGGGGAATTTAATTTTCTACAAAAAAGATGCTGTGACATTTTCTCGGTGAGGGGCTCATTGCGGAGATAATTGAATAATTGATTGAGAAGAACTTGATCATGATTTGACATTTTTCTGCCTCGAAAGTATTCTTTTGTCTAAAAAAATAATTTTAAAAAATTTCTCTAAATCCATTAATTACTGATATAACTCCCCAATTAACATGTGAAAAATTCAACATCAATAAATAATAATTTCAGTCTATTCTGTTCATTAATTCCATGATTATCTCAATATAAATTCCCTCAAAATATCCAAAGGCTCCTTTCACCCCTTCCATACTTCATAAAATCGTTCAATAATCACGAGAGATGGAGGAAAAACCCAAAGCACAGTGTTAAAATGAAAACAGATCACGAAAACCGAGAGTTTCCCTAACAAACGAGGGGAAACTCACCGAAAATGAAGGAAATTCCACAACTTCTCAACGAAAAAAAAAACCGTCTTCTCCATTTTCGCAGTGAAAATACAACAGAAAACCAAATGATTGAATAAACCAATTTGTACTTACGATGGAATGAGGGGAGGTGGAAGGCCAGGGGTTCCACGTACTGAAGGTGGAGCACCAGGTCCAGGTCTGTTTGGAATAGCTGGGGCTGGCCTGCCACCAGCTGGCACTGGAGGTGGTGCACGACCACCTGTGGGCACTGGTGGCTGCTGCACTCCTCTTCTGGGGCCACCAGGCGACGGTGGAGACAGTCTAAAACATCAGAATTCATCTATTAATCCTCCACAATTCAAATTTTCAAGTTAATTTTAAACGTCTTTCAATTTAGTAAAGCTTCTTCTGGTGCTTTTAAGCTTCTCTGGCTGTTCTCGTGGGGTTACTACGAAGCTGCAGGGGAGTACATGAGGTTCATTGGTGTTAATCAAAAATTTTTCACTAATTTTTGAGGTTTTTTCACTGGGAATTCGTTGGTTTTAATTGGGACGAGCTTGAAAAATTATGAAATTTTTCGACATTATTTAGGGGGGGGGGGGGCTTCAGGCGGAATTTTTTGTGGGACATTTTTTGTCAGGAATTTTATAAGCTACAAAAAAGATCTGGCGGTATTTTTTATAAATTTATTCGTCAAAGAGATAATTGACAATTAATGAAAGGAGTTTTTATTTTGAGCAAATTTCGAAATTTTAGTTTTTAATTAGGGATATATCTCGGTGATGAGTTGATTTACAGAAAAACGTCACAAAATATTTTTTGTGATGAATTTTATAAGCTACAAAAAAGGTCTAGAGGTATTTTCTCTAAATTCACTCGTTAACGAGATAATCGACAATTAATCAAATTTTTTTTATTCCAGTCAAATGCGAAATTTCGTTTTTATATAGGATTCAACTCAACAAACACTGGTTTATGGAAAAATATCAAGTTTCAAAGAGAATTCAATTTTTAAAAATGTCGATTCGCCTTTAAAATTGCTTGTTAACAAGATAATTAGTAATTAATGAAAAGTATTCTTACATTAGTTAAATATCTAATTTCTACTGTTAATTCGAAATTTGAAACTGAAACTCCCTCAAACAGAATTAGTTAAGAATTTTCGATTAATCACTGGTGAAGATTATAATTGCTTGGTATTACAGTCTATGGGAATTGTTTAACCAAAAAAAAACTATGAGCCATCTTACCCATAACTGTGGCAATTGATGTTCGATAGTATTCAGCAATGACACATAATAAAACAGCACGGAATAGTAAATAAATTGTTGAATAACGAAATAATCATTATTTATGCAATTTTGTCATCAAATTCGTCAGTCAAAAATCGAAATTTCTCATGGTAAAAAGTCTCGAAGACATGAATGAGAGAATTACATCGATTTTTATTTTTCAATTTTTTTAAACTCTTCTAATAATTTTTTGTTATGATTTTTCACGAAGAAAATTTAATAATTCAAATTTTTCAATTTCAAATTGATTTTTTATTTTTATAATTTAAATTTAATAATTTTCTTCGTGAAAAATCATGAAAAAAAGTTATTGGAAGGGTTAAAAAATAGAATTTGATGACAAAATTAGAATTTTTATTAATTACGACGGATTTACACACACCTGGGGTTTTCACCCGACGCGAGCCAGTCATTTTTCACTGGTGGTGGTACTGGAGTGCTCACCGTAGCCATTGAAACATCTCCAATGATTCGAAGGGCCTCTTTGCAGGCGTGATACATTCGCAGCATCTCCTCTCGCTTCTGGGCTTCCTCTGGTGATTCTTCCATCATCGAGGACTGTAAAAAATAAGTGGACAATTGCATTTTTTTAATAAATGAGTATAGTTCCTGCTGCTAATAAATTAGCAATGCGTTTTCGTATGGTTTCTTTTTTGTTAATTCTTATTTCACTATTCTCTTCTTCTATTTTTTCATGTCATAGCATTATCATCAATTGAAATGTCATCAAAATTTTGCGTATTATTTCATTCTGTCAAATAATTCTACATTCAGACCCTCTCAAGACTCGAATTCGTTTTCAGTCCGGGATTAATCAAGGTTTAATCAGTGTATAATCGGGATTTAATCAGGGTTTATTCAGGATTTAGCCAGAGTTTAACCCAGGTTCTGTCAGAAGTTAGTCGAGATCATGAATCAATATGAATAAGTATTCAACATAATAGACTGCTACCTGAGTTTAATAGAGATAGAGATTTTTATATAAAAAGCTCATGACGGTATTGTGTAACTTGATAAGCAATGATGCTGTTCTCACCATTTTTCAACTTGATTAAGAAGCCACTGATATATACTTTTCAAGCCCTGATTTAATTGCTATTACTGATGATTCTTTCAGTAATCATGAAAAAACCCATTTTCTCTTTCAAATCGCATAAACAATGTGCTGTAACTCAACAACCAATTGTGCGACCCCCATCATATTCTGATAGAATCAAGAGGGTATTGTTATCAACTTTTTGAGCCACGACTAATTCAATTTTGATGACAATTTTTTGAGTGATCGTTCAAAAATCAATTTTTGGTAAAACATCAATTTTTTCGAATCTGTATGAAAAATTGAATTTTAATTGGTGTCAATAAATAGAGCTTATTAGACTCTATATTCATGAAGAAATTCATAAAATTCGATTGATCCCATTTAAGAAAATTTCGGACTTTTTAGTCCATATTTAGTAACCCCAACACAAAAAATTGGAAACATTAAGACCCGGACGTACTATCTTTCGAATGTTACCTGGATTTTTTTATCTTTCGTAATCCAAAATTATCAATTGAGTGGTACATCATGTAGAAATTCCCAAAAATTATGATAGAATGATAAAAAAAAAAATAGAAAAAATTCTGAACTTTTTCAAAGAGCGTTTTTAATTGAGATTCAGAATGAGCTGAAAAAAGTGGAAATTACTGATATCTGATTCGCTGTGATAAATTATCTATTAGCTGTCATTTTCCATGGTGGATAACAAAACACTAACTCCTCATGGGAAGTGACAGCTAGGTATCTCAATTTTCAAAACAGTGGTATGTAGCCATCTGCCATTTTTATGTGATAAAAGTGTGATTAAAAAATTCTCCAAAATATTACAAATTTTATCAAAGAGCCTTTTCCGTAATAAATATCTCTGTGCAGTGTGGGAAAAGATTTACGAAATCAGTCTTCCCCCTGCATGATATTGGGTGACAGGCCGCCCCATTTGTCACCGTAAATCAGATACATTTTTCAATTTCTTGTTATTCAACTTATTCTGAATATAAATTAAAAATGCTCTTTGAAAAAATTGAGAATATTTCTACTTTTTTTTGATTATTCATTCATAATTTTTCAAAACTTCTGCATGATGCAGGTCTCAATTGACAATTTCAGATGGCGAAAGATGAAAAAAAACGTCGAGATAACGTTCAAAAGATAGTACACCCGGGCCTCAATTTGAGAAATTACAAAGCTTCCAGTCGAAAGAAAAAATAATAAATCCTCTTACTTGGTCCCCACTGGCATACAAATGAGCCAACAGCTCTCCATTGATAAACTCCTTCGCATTATTGATGATCAGATGCATAATAGTCTTTGGAACGAGATCTCTAGTCGTTTTCGTGACAATTTTCATGTACGAGTCGACCAAGTTCCTGATGGTCTCGACCTGTCGCTCGAGCTGCGGATCCATCGAGGACTGGCCCTCGGATCCCCCCTAAAACGACGATCCAACAAATCCATTAGTCCCAAACAACCAACGACTCCAGATTTAAATAAAAATGCAAAAACAATTTGTTTGTGTTCGCAATCTGGGTTAAAAAAAACTGTAAAAAATCCTTGTGTCGTGGGCGTGCGTGTTTCTTCTCACTAAATTAATTCTTGTGAGTGTTTTTCTACTTTTTTTTAAACTACAAACCTCGTATCCTTCCTTCAGGTGATTTATTTATCAAACAAAAACAGAGGAAAATTTGGTGAATATTTGGGGGAAAACGATTCCTAATTTAAAGAAATAATAAAAATTCCCAGTTAATTGATTATTTCATTATTCATAACTGCTCTTGTTAATTATTCAAATGTAAAATTCACACTGTTAGGAATAATTCACACGCCTGACAACTCACCCGAAGTTTATCGTCCTAAAATGTGAGGAAATAAAGATGAAATAGTGAAATAAAAACAGTTTGAAAAATCAATTAATGAACGAAATAAACATCTCAAACATGTGAATGATGAATAAAGACTGACGAAACGAGTCAACAATTGAATTTAAGTGGAGAAAATACGAATGGAGACGAAGATATTATAATTCGATGGAAATTCCTGAAGTGATTTTTTTTGCTACTGCTAATCAATTATTATTTTACCTCGCCTTCTCCGTTGGCTTGTTCGGTGGACTTCTCGGGGTAGACGCCAGCCCTGAGGAAGGACGCCTTCCACGAGTCGACATCATCCTGGGTCTCGCAACTCAACTCGAGTTGTTTATAATCCTTGTAAACATTTCGTCCCTCGGGATTGAAGAGAGCAAACAAGTGGCGACGAGACATGAAGCCTTGCTCAAGGTCACGGAGCTTCAGTCCGTCCAGTGGAAGCATGTACTTCTTCTCACGTTCCTGGGTGCAAAGAAATTTAATTAAAGAATTGTTCAATTAAAAAAGAAATATTCAATTAGGAATTCATTTGGAGAATTTTTGTTATCGTAAAAATTCAGGGAATTGGAACTGAAACTTTTTTAAAAATGTAGGTGTTGTTGAGCCCTATCCATCGTCGTTAATTAAAATTTAATTCATCGATTAATTTTTTAATTTTCGAATTTTTTCGAAAATCGGTTGTCCCACGTTAACTAAAAAAAATGTTCTAAATTGATTGAATGATGCCTTAAAAAATTTGTTTGGATGTCCTTTCGACCGAGTTTGAAGATGAAGGCCATAATAGTTATTTTGATTAATTTGAAAATTTCCAAAAATTTTGAATTTTTTGAAAATCACAATTCCGGGGATATCTTTGAATATCATACTTCAAATGAATTGAGGCATAGCTTGAAATGTTTGTTTTAATGCCATTAAGTCCCAGTTAGAAGATGATTACGATAGCTATATTGGTTAATTTGATTTTTATAATGATTGTTGAAAATTTCGAATTTTTCATGAATTTCCCTGAAAGTGAGCTTTCTGATGGTTTCTTCAAATGTGATGTTTTAAATTCATTCAAGTATGTATAAATAACATTTTTCTATTAACATTTTATCGAAGGGCTGAGGGGAGAGATAGAACCGTAAAAAAGACAATCGGTTGTATATAATAAAGGGATGATAGGAATAATGATGATGATAACATTCAACAAAGTTGAAAATCTGACAAAATTAGTTAAAAAGAAATCTCATTCAATTTAATAAAATGAAATAATTAATGAATTATACATGCTAGACGAAAATAATGTACAAAATAACCATTTGGAAGCACATTGCTAATTTATTATCAAAAATAACTATACTATGTGCAATACAAGAGCAATTTTCCACTTGTTTTATGTTAAAAATCCAGGGAAATGCGTTTTTTCAGGCATCACAATTTCAAAGATACGAAATAATTTCAAAACAGCAAAATGTGCAATAATGAACAATCCCTGATAATTCACCTCTTCATCCTTGAACCAGGAAATGCTCTCAGACGTGAGAACAAACCAATAGTCCCTGGAGCCTCCCTTCATGATTCCAAGATTATGAATGCACATGTAGCCCTTCCTGATGACCTGATTACCAAGTGTGTGTCTTCCAGCCTTGACAGCATTTTCAGACGACTGCTGAGCACTGCAACATAAACAATTTCATCACTTCAACCACAAAAGTACAATCTAAATACCCTAAAAAAATCAAATAGAGCCTTCACAATGCATACAACTTATTTTCAATAATAAAAAATGTTGGAAATTTTTTTTGTTGAACAACAATTAAATGCAGAAAAAGCAAACAAATGCCCTAGGCAACAGTGGCTAAGTCAGTTCTACGCAACACGCAATAATCAGCATCTTTTTCTCCTTTTTTTTTGTTACGAAAAAATCACTTTTATAATTTTTTCAAAAATTCATTTATCATGATTTTATTGATTAATGTGAGATGTACGTGAGCCTGATGACAATGATGCGATTTTATTGGATGAAAGTAGCATAACAGCATACAAAAAAATAATGAGAAGGAAATTAAATATTTAACGATGCAAGAGAAAGATAAATCAATGAAAAAATTAATTAATAATGAAAGAAAAAATGTAGGAATATTAATTTTGCAATCAATTCAATTGAAAAGATAAGTGGTTCAGATTTTTTTAAAGGATATTCCAAGCTCTAGGGGCAAAATGGGGATATTTCATATATTTTTTTGTTTAACGAGGAAAAATAAATTTAAAATGCCCAGAAAATGATGCCTGAAATATCAGTAATTTGCCTGTGGATACTAAAAAAGGTGAAAAATTGATCAAAACCCCGCCTGACGTAACTATCAATGCTCACAAGGGTCATACCTCGCGAGGGTCGAATGTCACAAGGGTCATAACTCGCAAGGGTCAAACGACCGTGTACAGGCAGGACAATCTCAAGGGTCAACTGGGAGAGGCAAGGAGGACACGAGTCAAACGGGAGAGCTTTCTGATATATTTCGCTCGATATATGATCGTTTGACCCTTGCGATTTTCCTGCCAGCTTCTCCTGGTTGAGCCCCATGATCATTGGACGCTTGTGATTGTCCTGTTTGCCTCTCCTGGTTGACCCCTCTGGTCGTTTGACCCTTGAGATTGGCCTGGCTGCCTCTGTTGTTTGACCCTTGCAACGTTTGATCCTTGCGAGGCAAAATGAGAGAGCCTTCTATCTACTTCGCTTCATTTATGATAGTTCGACCCTTCGACGTATAGATGGTAAAAAACGGTAAATAATTTATCAAAAACCCCCTGACGTAACTATCAATGCTCACGAGGGTCAAACGTCACAAGGGTCATACCTCGGGAGAGTCAAACGTCATCAGGGTCATATCTTCCGAGGATCAAACGTGGCAAGGATCATAACTCGCAAGTATCAGACCACAGAGTACAGGTAGGGCAACCTCAAGGGTCAACTGGGAGAGGTAAGGAGGACACGGGTCAAACGGGAGAGCTTTCTGATATATTTCGCTCGATATATGATCGTTTGACCCTTGCGATTTTCCTGCCTGCTTCTCTTGGTCGAGCCTCATGATCATTGGACTCTTGAGATTGGCTTGTCTGCCTCTGTTGTTTGACCCTTGCGAGGTATGACCCTTGCAGCGTTTGACCTTTGCGAGGCAAAATGAGAGAGCCTTCTAACTATTTTGCTTCATTTATGATAGTTCGACCCTTCGACGTATGGATGGCAAAAAACGGTAAACAATTTATCAAAAACCCCCTGACGTAACTATTAATGCTCATGAGGGTCATACCTTGCGAGGGTCAAACGCCACAAGGGTCATACCTCGGGAGAGTCAAACGTCATCAGGGTCATATCTTTCGAGGATCAAACGTCGCAAGGATCATAACTCGCAAGGGTCAAATTACAGAACACAGGTAGGACAATCTCAAAGGTCTGCTGGGAGAGGCAAGGAGGACACGGGTCGAACGGGAGAGCCTATATATGATCATTTACGTAGATTACGTGGTAGTGACGGACCGGAGTTGTTATGCAATTCAAGGTCATCTGGGCTTTTTAAATTCATAATTTTTTAATCATTAAAAAAAGCTTCGAAAGTTTCACCTCAAACTTAAATATAATTTCCAATGAATTATTGAATAGTAGAAATATTTAAAAAATCATGAAATATCCCCCCCGCCCTATTCATCACTCCCACCCCCTCTTCCCCCGCAATCCCCAAAAAACCTAGAAAAAATCTAAATGAACGCACTCAACTTCTCCTAAATTTCATCACAAAATTTTCTGATAAAAAAACGAGATAATTAATTCATTTAATTAAATAAACGAACTCGTGGTGATGTTCATTGATGTTCTTACCTTGAATTATAGATACTGGCCGCCGCGCTGCCGATATAATTACATAAATAAATGTTTATATTTGGTGAAATATAACAGTTTTTTTTTGAAAAATGAAAAATCAAGAAGATTAAGTAATAATCTTCCTCAAACTTTAATAAAAGAAAACGAAAGTACTCTGGTGAGAGGCAAAAAGCGTTGGAAAGTGATAAACAATTCAATGAAATTAAGAAATAAATAGTGTACGATAAATTATTAAATTGCGGGTTAATGATTCATCTAGTTATGAAGGTCCTTGAATGATACAAAGATGTCATTAGATGATCTTTCATCAGTTGATAGAATTATCTATTCAATAGTCAAGTCTGACTGGAAAGTCATTGTTAACTACTGAGGATGCCAAATACTTCTGTTGTATGTTTTTTTTTCCATTCGTATTATTTTTTTTTATTCGCTATGTGCAAATTAACTATTAGCTGTGGGTTTTTGTGAAGCAATTACTCAAGCGTGTGCTGTAGAATTTTTAAGAAGGTGCGACATTTTGCAGTTTTTGGACTGAGAAAAAATTATTTTTCATTTATTCATAATTCAGGATTTTTTGGTTTTTTTTTGGTTGAGGGTCAAATGGTCGTAAGGGTCAATCGACCCTTAAGAATGTTGAGGGTCAAATGAGCCCTTGATGACGTGTAGGATTAGAGATCAAATGATTCTTCCTGTTCACTTTGTTTCAACTTGTTTGACCCTTAAGAGCATTTGACCCTGGACTCCACATGTTTTTGAGAGCCGCTTGACCCTCAAAACCATTTGAGCCTGCAACAAGGGGCAAAGTACAACACCCAGAAAAACGACGACTTAAGACAATTTAGGAAACTTTTTCAGTTTTCGGTTGAGGGTCAAATGGTTTTAAGGGTCAAACGACCCTTGAAAACACGTACGGTTAAGAGTCAAATGACCCTTAAGGGCGCTTGGAGTTGACGGGCAAACGATCGTAAGGGTCAAACGACCCTTGAAAACACGTAAGGTTAAGAGTCAAATGACCCTTAAGGGCACTTGGAATTGAGGGTCAAATAGTCGTAAGGGTCAAACGACCCTTGAAAACACGTAAGGTTAAGAGTCAAATGACCCTTAAGGGCACTTGGAATTGAGGGTCAAATAGTCGTAAGGGTCAAACGACCCTTGAAAACACGTAAGGTTAAGAGTCAAATGACCCTTAAGGGCACTTGGAATTGAGGGTCAAATAGTCGTAAGGGTCAAACGACCCTTGAAAACACGTAAGGTTAAGAGTCAAATGACCCGTAAGGGCGCTTGGAGTTAAGGGTCAAATGACCCATGAAAACACGTAAGGTTAAGAGTCAAATGACCCTTAAGGGTGCTTGGAGTTGAGGGACAAACGATCGTACGGGTCAAACGACCCTTGAAAACACATACGGTTAAGAGTCAAATGACCCTTAAGGGCGCTTGGAGTTGAGGGGCTGACGATCGTAAGGGTCAAACGACCCGTGACAACACGTAAGGTTAAGAATCAAATGACCCTTAAGGGCGCTTGGAATTGAGGGTCAAATAGTCGTAAGGGTCAAACGACCCTTGAAAACACCTAGAATTACGGGTCAAATGACCCGTAAGGGCGCTCGGAGTTAAGGGTCAAATGACCCAGAAAACACGTAAGGTTAAGAGTCAAATGACTGATGACCGATGACTCCTGACCAAATGATGCGATTAGGATAAGTCGGCTCATTTTAAAGCCTGAAAAAACACCTTTAAAATGGAAAAAAAATTTGAATTTCACTCTGTCGTTGAGCTATTAAGAATCAACGATTATTCGTTCAATCCTGCTCTCCTCTATTTTATTTCCTGGTGATTCAGTTTTCCCTACTTTCCCCTATTGATTATGTAATTATCTCGAAAACGTCACAGAACATTTTTTCACGAAGAATTAATGTTCCTAGAAAAAACTTCTGACATTTTCCCCAAAATAAAAAATTCCAAACAATTCTTCATAATTTTTTCTCAGTCAAGGGGTGAATGTGATGCTCAATCCAACTCTAATTGATAATTAAATCGTTTCATTTTGTGCAAATAACTAAATGCCATTCAAAATAAAGGTACAGAGTGCATCTATAATAAAGTGATTGACATTTAACAGGCTCCGAAGGTGATAAATAACCGGAAGAATTTAAATAGCCAGTACAGAAATAATTCAAGGTGGTTTCAAGTACTCTGCACAATAGCATAGTTCGCCTAACTACCTCGTTATGTATATTTTTTTAATTCTCTTCAATAACTCATCAATTTAATGAACAAACGAAAATTTTTGTAAACAAGTGGATTGATTCAGAGGTAATGAATATTTGCTTACTTGGCGAAACCAATGAAGTCCTCGTGATTGGTGTTCATGTAGGCAAGTTCGCAGTCCACTAGGAGAATCAATTGCTCTTTACATAATTGCTCACGTTGCCGTATGTAGGTGGTTATTATTCGCTCGGTTTCTTCCCTTAATCGAGGGTAACGTGACATCTGCAATTATAAATGAGTCAAGGAATATTAATTTGGGATGATTTACGTACTTGTCGATATTTTATGATTATTTGGGGAATTTCAACTGATTTTTGGAGAATTTCCCGATTTCAACCACTGGTGCTGAACCCATTTTGCCCTATTAATTTTAAAAATATTGGGACTTTTCGATTTTGAAGTGAAAAATGGATTTCTGGATTTATTCCATCAATCGGTGGGGCAATATGGGTTTAAAATCAGAGGTTGAGAACGCGAATTTTCCTGGAATGTTGATGGGGTCATTATCGACACCATAATGATGAAAAGATCCGAAAAAATTTGATTTTTAATGAAAAAAATCAACTTTTTCCACAATAAATTTCAGGAAATTTTTCGACTAATGAAATTAATTGAATCATATGATGAGAATTATTGAAAATTACTCACCCGATCTGTACAAATGCGTACGACATTGCTGAGTTCCTGCACAACAAGATCCGTACACTTGAGACTGGGTTCCTTCAGTCTGTTTATTTGTTTTTTAACAATGGCCTCGAAAGCCATGTCAGGAGTGAAGAGTCCCACCCTGATACCTAAATAAATCAACAAACGTTGCGTTAGTAATTTAAAAAAATTATTCAGGCATTTTTGAAGGTCATCCCGACGTACCATGGATATTTCTAATGGCAAATGCAATCTCTCTACGTAGCTCCTTCTCATCAAACTCCATTTTGACAATTTCAAAGGGGAATCTCTCATGAAACAATCGATTTATCTTAGCACCACCACTCAGCTCATTGGTATTGATCTGGGCTGAGCCAGAGCCCTCGATAGTCCTCTCGAAGTCTGACTGGAGCTGTTGAATCATCCTGGAGGAAAGTGACAAGACAATTTCATTAGAATTTCTATTTTAATTTTAAAAATGATTGCAAAAAGGGATGAGTTCGAATTTTTGGGCAATTTATTTCGTAAATATATCGAGAACTAAAAGTGTGAGAAGAAAATTTCAAGAGACATTTTTTTCGAGAATTTAATGAGCTACAAAAAAGGTTCAGAGATATTTTCTTCTAAACCCACTCCTTCTCGAGATATTTAGAAAATAATTTTTTTTTAAATTCACACTTCTATAAAACCATTTAATTAGTCCTCAACTGTTTAATTATCTCGTAAAAAATTGGTTTCAAATGTCAGGAACATTTTCTTGTGAACAATTAAACTCCCAATAAACAAACCCCCAGACATTTCCTTTTAATCTACTACATTAATTTAGAACTCATCTCATTTCACATCACTGACGACTTGATAATAAAGAGCATCGAGCCTTGCTATCTCTATTCACCACAAACGAAAAAAAAATCTAATAATACCGTTCCACCTATAAAACACCAGCTAATATCTTTAAAAAGCTGAAACACCGACGTTTTAATTGCACGAGGAATAAAACCTAAATTAGAATTTTATTCATTATTCAAGTGTTTGATTGTCATCACCAAATAATCGATATTCGGTGGGTTATTGGGGCACTCTGGTCATGCGAAGGAGGTGAGAATAATAATCAATAAAACGAAGGGGAGGAGAGATATTAATCAGGACGAACGCAAGTGCAAGTTAAATACCTACAGAAACATTCGAATTGATCTGAAAAAAATAAAAATTATGGTTTTGTGAATGAGATGACAAGACTCTGGCTCATGAAGTATCTTATTTCAATGAATTTTTTCGTACTTCCAATAATTGATGAATAATAAAGGCGAAAATTTCATAACTTTGTAGCGAAAAGAAAACTTTAAAAAATTAAGAAAATTGGATTTCGCAAATATCTCAAAAATTAATGGATTAAAAAAAAATAGATTGAACAGATTTTTTGTAAAAAAATGAAGCAAAAAAATTTAATAAAAAATATTACTTCTAAAGATATATACGAAATAATCTGATGGTTTAAATGTTGTTGAATTTAGTTAATTGAATCGATTAAATTAATCAATCACATTGGATTAAATTAATTGATCATTAATTTACTGCAAATATCTAAAAAAATAATAGATTTAAAAAAAATATTGCAGATATTTTTTCGTGAAAAATTGAAAGAAAAAATTTTAAAGGAAAAATCATCAATTTTAGAGATATTTATAACATAATGCGATTATTTAAATATTGTTGAATTAATTAAATTGATTCAGTTAAGCAATCAATAAATTAGTCAATTACATTAGATAAAATTAATTGTTTATTAATTTACTGCAAATATCTAAAAAAATAATGGATTTAAAAAAAATATGGAAGATATTTTTGGTAAAAAATTGGAAAAAAAAATTTTTTTTAAGGAAAAATGATCAGTTTTCGAGATATTTACAAAATAATTCAATAACAATCATTGATTAAATTGATGAATCAATAAATTAGACAATTGCATTGGATTAAACTAATTGTTTATTAACTTACTGCAGCATAGCTTTTGTCTTGATGGCTGGATCATCAGGCCTGAAGTGTTTGTACTGCTCGACATCCTTCTCAAGAGCCAACTGTTGCTTCTGGAGGCGATCCCTGAGGGCTGGAAGGGTGTCCCTTATGTGATTCGTCAGCTGTTGGTTGAGGACACGTTGTAAATACGGTGTGCCAAGTCTGTCAGCCAAGTGTCGATAGGATGGATGACTGAAAATTACGAAAAAAAAGTTGTATTAAAATCCAAACAGAACTAATAATAAATTATGCAAAAATTAAATCGTGAAACTAAAAACGTGGGATTCAGTCACTTTTATACTCGACCATTTATCTCGTGCACTAATCACTGTAGAAGAAAATGTGAGTAGGCGTTTTTGTTGGAAATTTTCTCAGCTACAAAAAATGTCTTATGGTGTTTTTCTCTAAAACTACTCGTTATGGAGATAATTCTACTTTTTCAAAATGTATTTCAGGAGTTTTCTATTAATAGAAAAAAAAGGGTTTTAATGCGGCATTTGTCTAGAAGAAATTTAGAAGAAAATGTATAATAACGTTCTCGTCGTAATGTACAATTGATAATGGATAACCGAGTGATGAAATCATCGGAATGAAATTCGATCCACTTGTGTTGATTAAGAAATTAGGGCAGAAGGCCATCAGACGTTTTTGTAGAAAATTAAATTTCCGAAGAAAAATTTCTAACATTTTTCCCAGAATCAGCCCCTTCAAATCGCCCACTAATTAAAAAAAAAAAAAAAAAATAGAATTAAAAATAATCTGTCACAATTGTAACTAGAAGAATTAACAAAATAAATTCGTTTCAAATGTTTTATCTCTCAATTAATAGTTCATACCCCATTGTGAATTAATATTTGAATAGAAAACAGTAATCAAAAATTTAAAAAAGCAAAACTAAATAAAAAAGTTGGAGAATTCTACATTAACAAAAAATTTAACAATTAATTAGTTTAAGGCCCGGCTCTACTATCTTTCGAATGTTATCTCAATGTTTTTTTCCATCTTTCGTCATCTGAAATTGTCAATTGAGTCCTGCATCATGCAGAAGTTTTGAAAAATTATGAATGAATAATTAAAAAAAAGTAGAAAAAATTCTTAATTTTTTCAAAGAGCATTGTTAATTTATATTCAGAATAAGTTGAATAACAAGAAATTGAAAAATGTATCTGATTTATGATGACAAATGGAGGCCTGTCACCCAATGTCATGCAGGGGGACTACTGATTTCGTAAATCTTTTCCCACACTGCACAGAGACATTTATTACGGAAAAGGCTCTTTGAAAAAAGTTGTAATATTTTGGAGAATTTTTTAATCACACTTTTATCACGTAAAAATGGCAGATGACTACATACCACTGTTTTGAAAATTGAGATACCTAGCTGTCACTTCCCACGAGGAGTTAGTGTTTTGTTATCCACCATGGAAAATGACAGCTAATAGATAATTTCCCACAGCGAATCAGATATTAGTAATTTCCACTTTTTTCAACTCATTCTGAATCTCAATTAAAAACGCTCTTTGAAAGAGTTCAGAATTTTTTCTATTTTTTTTATCATTCTATCATAATTTTTGGGAATTTCTACATGATGTACCACTCAATTGACAATTTTGGATTACGAAAGGAAAAAAAAATCCAGATAGCATTCGAAAGATAGTACACCCGGGTCTTAATTATTAAAAAAAGTTTTTGTTCATTAAAAAATTATTATTTACCTGAGGAAGAACTTCCTCTCAGCTGCCAGAGCATTCTTAATATCCTTTCGTCCCTCAATGTCTTTCTGACTTCTATTGACGACTCCAATGTACCCCCGACGCAAAGGTAGAAATTTGTTCTCCAAAATGTCCCTCGCATCAGTTCCCTCATCCATAAGATCCAGTTTGGTGATGACACCAATGGTTCTGACCCCTGAAAAAATTCGAAATAATATTAAACAAGTGGAGAATTGCTTTTGCCTTCATATAATATAACTATTTTTGTTAATAAATTAGCAAATGGTTCCGAATGCCCATTTTGCACATAATTTTCTTCATCACATATCATTTATCGTTTGATATTATTCTGCTCAATTGAATTACCTTTCTTCTTTAATCAATTGTGCCAGATTTCAACAATTTTTTTTTTTAATTCTAAATTTCTAAAAATTGATATATGAATTGAATTTTAATTAATGGCGATGGAAACGGCTCAACAACACCTACATTCGAAAACGATTAAATTTGCTGATTCAATAGCAACAATTGCATATTTGGCCTTTTTGGATAATTAATTGAAATGAGGCGAAAAATCAAAAACAATATTACTAAAGTAATGATTGATGCCGATTTATGATTACTACTATCGCCATCATCTTCGAACTCGGTCAAAGGGACATCGAGACAATTTTTCAAAGGCCTCATTCAATAAATTCCGAGCATTTTTTTTAGTTTTCATGGGACAACACATTTTTTTAAAAATTCTAAAATTCTAAAAATTGATATATGAATTGAATTTTGATTAATGGCGATGGAAACGGCCATAATCAAATCAAATCAACCAAATCAAATTATTATTTAATAATTAATTGAAATGAGGCGAAAAATCAAAAACTTAAATGTTGAAACCCTCAGGATGACGCCCCTTACCCTCTGGATCCACCTCCTTGGCAAGTTTGAGTGCATCGCTATTGGCTAAATCAGTATTAGCAGGTGTGACAGCTAGAATGAGACAATTCTCCTTCTTGATGAACTGAAATATCATTCCCTTGATCTGCGCCTCGATGTCCACTGGCTGGTCACCGACTGGCACTTTGGTGAGACCAGGCAAGTCAATCAGGGTTAAATTCAGCACGTTTGGTGAGTATACTCTCAGGTTTATGGGAATGTTTGATATTCCCTTGTTGCTGCCGGTTATTCTGTCTGTTTCTGCCTCGATCTCTCGACGAACCTCGTCAAAGTCCACGAATTTCTTACCTTTGCAGTGAAGAAATTCCGCATGTTCTGTTGGAGAATCGAATTATTAAAATAAATTCCCAAAAGATATTTTCTTAAAAACGATTTTTTAATTTAATAAATTCAGTTTTTTCTTCTAATTTCGTTGTTTTTTTCTGCATATTCTGTTGGAAAATTAAATTGTAGTAATGAATTTAAAAGAAATTATCTTTGTTTTGTTATGTTTGTAAAAATATTTTAGAATTGCATAAAATAATTTTTTTTCCTAATTTCGTTCTTTTGTTGTTGAATGCACAGCGCAATTGGGATTTTGATATCATTTGGAGGTCAACGATCGAGAGTGATTTCAGGAACGCTATCTTGGTTATCAGGAAATTTATCAGAGGCTATTGTGTGACAGGATGTGAGACAATCCAAGAGGAAGAGTGATTTTATTTTTTAATGAAATGATGAGGTTTTTTTCATTTTTTTTTTTATAAAAAAATTAACAAGTGGTTTTAAGACATGTCTCGTGGGAAATTTAGTCCTCCACAAGAATATTCTTTGACATTTTCTGATACATCTAATCATTACCGAGGAAATTTAATTGATTCAAGAGTTATCAATCATGTTTTTCCTAAATAATAATAACTGTTTTGTTAATTAAGTCATTATCTTTTTTTTTTCTTTTATTTAAGCGCAAAACCTACAGATTTATACAGCTGTCAATAGAAAAAAAAAAATTAATAAATAAAAAAAAAAGTCGTTATCTCCATAATGACTGGGTCTACAGAAAAATGTTATAAAACATTTTTTGTAGCGAATCCAATTTCCGACAAAAAATGTTCTTTGACATTTTATCGTAAAAGCATTCGTTACTGGGATAATTAACTAATTAACTATCATGTTTGTCCTAAACAAGACGTATTTTATTAATTAGGGATTTATCTCGATAATGGGTAGGTCTAGAGGAAAATGTCATAAAACAATTTTTGTTGGAAATTGAATTCTCTACAAAAAATGGTTTCTAACATTTTATCGTAAAACCCCTCGTTCTCGATTAATTGCGTATTTAGGCCGACGCGGTTTCGAATTGCTCGATTTATTGATAAATTTAACGTTTCAATTGATTAATGTAGTTTTCGCTTACCAGTCATGCTATTGATGAGCTGCAGAATGAGTGGCCTTCTCGTGACAATGCCCGATCCTCTCGGCAGGAAATCCCTGGAAGAAAACGAAACAAAAGATGAATTTACATAATCGAGGAAATGACCGACGTTGACATCGAGTTAAGGAGTTGTTTAATTGAGTAAGACGTGGGAGATGGAGCACGAGGGGTCACCGATGGTACCACGAACGAAACAATTGATTGAGGCAATGAAACGTCTCCAGTGAATTAAACAAATTAAGTAAAATGTCTGGGTGAAGAACTTCGTATAATTGCAGAATAGACATCTCTTTGACTCTAGCCCGGCTGCACCAAGCACATTTAAGAAAATCCTCAGTTAAGTATCGGAATGAATAAAAATAATTTAAGGCCCGGGTAGATTATCTTTTGAACGTGATCTTGGTTGTTTTTTTTTTATTTTGATAATTTGAAATGATCTCCAACTTCTATTCAGTTTTACATGGCCGTGGAGTCGCCAAAAATTATGAGTGCAATATCAAAAAAACGTTGAAAAAAGCTGCAAAAGGCAAAAACATTTTCAAAGAGCGTTTTTTTTAAATATTGGGAAATAAACTCAATAGGGAGGAAATTGCAAATTAATAATTTGATGTATTTCATGGCTGTCAGATCGTTAGTTACCATGATAAATTGTTAAAACGCTCTTTGAGAATGTTCAGTTTTTTTTCTAATTTTTTTATTTCTTTTTTTTTTATTTTTTATTTTTTTTTGTGTGATGTAAAGTCCAATGGAAATTGTGATATACTCTAGATTATGAAGATGGAAAAACAATCGAGATAACGCTCGAAAGATAATCCACTCGGGCCTTAAAGGTTGAGTGCTAGGATTAAATAATTTTTTAACTAGAGCTCTGAAGCTCAATTGTAAGTGTTAAAAAAAATCCTCGGTTGTCAATCATCTCAGTAACAATCGAAGAGATCTTTTTCGTGAAGAATCCCTTGACCTATAAAAAATCTGAGTTTTCCGTAAAAAATCCCCCGCAAAACCCTCAACTTTTTTTCGCTTTTCCGCTAACGAATTAAAATCCCCTCATTAATTTTTCAGCCGGGTGAATAATTGATCCTCACCGCCTAAAAATCAATCGTCTCCTCCGAAGCAAATCCACGTAAAAACCCTCACTAACTCTCCAATAAAACCGAATAAAATCATTATAAATTGTCAGTATTATTAATCTCCAGTCGTCGGCAGAGAATCTTCGTAGGATGAAAGAGAGATTAAATTAATAATCCTTCCTGAAAACTATCAAAGAAACAGAGATAGGCATAATCATAAATTACCATTACCATTAATTTTATAAATACTCAATCAAGTAATAGAACTTGACAATTTTCCATTATTAAATTAATCAATAATTAAATATTTGAATTCCGAATTATTTTACCAATCAATAATCGAATTCGGAAGAATGACGATTATTTGATAATCTCTAATATTTTTTGAAAATTTCCAATTGTTTATTTAATAGTTATTGAAAAAATTTAAATTCTCAATTATTTATTATTTTCTAAGTCCCAATGATAAACGAATGAATTCGGTTATTTGGGAAAATAATTCTCTTAATATTTCTGGAATAATGATTGATGCCGATCACTGCAAAGAAATCTTTTTTGTAAAGAATCGCCTATAACAAATCTGACCTTTCCCCAAAAACTCCACTCCAAAAATTCTCAACTCCTTCTTCTCTCCTCCCACGAATGGACCCCCCCCCCTATTAATTTCTCACCCCATAAATTATTGATCCTCTTCCTCTAAAAATCAATCTCCTCACGAAGAAAATCCACCTAGCAACCCTACCCAATTCTCCAATGAGACCCAATAAAAAATCATCAGTGTTATCAATCTCCAGCAGTGATCCCCATCAGTATTACATTTCTGCAATATTACAAGAATTTGCCCCTTACATTAATGAATGTTCAAAATATGCTGATCAAATTTTTCAAATAGTATAATATTAATGATCTGATTTTTTTCCCAAATTCCCTAAAAACTCCACTCCAAAAATCCTCAACTCCTTCTTCCCTCCCCCCTCATTTATTTCTCACCCCATAAATTATTGATCCTCACCCTCTAAAAATCAATCCCCTCTCGAGCAAAACCCACCTAAAAACCCTCACCAATTCTCCAATAAAATCCAATAAAAATCAGTATAAATCATGTCTCACCAATTTCCATTAAATATGAATAATAAAAAAATAAAATAAAATCTAAAAAAAAATTTAAAAAAAATATATGAAAAATAAAATCTAAAAGAAAAATAAAATAAAATCTGTCAATGGGATTAATTCACAGTTGAGTCCTAGGGTCAAACAGACCTGAAATTAACAACCCTTCCCACAAAAAAATATCCAGAAATCTTTTTTGTAAAGAACTCCCTGGCCTACAAAATTTTGATATTTCCCCAAAAACTTCACTCCAAAAATAAACTCCTTCTTTCCTCCCCTCGCAAATTAACCCCCGCATTTATTTTTCACCCTATAAATTATTGATTCTCAGCCTCTAAAAATCAATCCCCTCCCCAGCAAAAACCATCCAAAAACCCTCACAAATTTTCCAATAAAACCCAATAAAAATCAGTATAAATCATGTCTTATCAATTTCCGTTAAAAAATAAAATCTAAAAAAATCAAATAAAATCTGTCAATGGGATTAATTCACAGTTAAGTCCTAGGGTTACATAGACCTTAAATTAACAACCCTTCCCACAAAAAAATATCCAGAATTTTTTTTTGTAAAGAACTCCCTGACCTACAAAAAATTTGATATTTCCCCAAAAACTCCACTCCAAAAATCCTCAACTCCGTCCTCCCATCCCCCTCAAATTAACCCCTTATTTATTTCTCACCCTATAAATTATTGATCCTCATCCTCTAAAAATCAATCCCCTCCCGAGCAAAACCCCCCTAAAAACCCTCACCAAATCTCCAATAAAATCCAATAAAAAATCATGATAAATCATCAGTCTTATCAATCCCCAGTCATCGACATAAAATCTCCCAATGAGTCCATTTGACAGGCCACGAGTGGGCGCCCTGACGTCATCAAAAACCCGACAGTCGTCCCATTGTATTCCCAACCGAATCAAAACTTCGATAAGATAAAATCCCCTTGAATCCCCCCAAAAAAAATTGAACCTCAATCCAAATAAAAAAACTAAACAAAAATAAGATGAAAAAATTGCTGGACCCCAGACCCTCCCCTCCCCTAGGGCCCTCGCCACGCCTTCAAAAGAAAATAATAAAATCAACTAAAACCCCAAAAAACCCTCGAAATTTCCTCAAAAATTCGAAAAAAATCGCAGAAACAGTATGAAAAATGGAAAATACTGGGAAAAAAATGAAAAAAAATTCTAGTAACTCACTTTCCAACAAAGTTTTCCAGAACTGAGCTTTTCCCCGCACTTTGTCCACCGACAACAGCAATCTGTGGCAAATCAAGCTGCATGGACACCCCCAGCTGTGTGAATGCATCCTGAAGTTTATTAACAATTGGAATCAATTGCTCCATTCCCGTATTGCCAGCCATTTTTGACAAATTGTTAGGTGCACTTATCCACCCAAAAATAAACAAAAAATACAGCACAAAAGTTGAGAGAGATCACTCGGCTCACGCCGTTAACCCGCGATTTAACCCCCAAATTCCCAATTTATCTGTCGTTTTTGTTCTTCTTAATTTTTAATCGGTGATTTTTAAAACGACGTGAAAGCCTCTGTTTCACCGCACAAACTGCCAGTGATCATCACCCACCTCTACTACGTTTTTTTTTTCGCCCACCCTGTCCACCGCGCAACGCCTGATGAATCAAAATGGCGGATTAGGGCGGACTCGCACGAGCGATTGACCGAGCAAATTCAGGGATTCGGTGATTATTCTCCATTTTTTTCACTTTTTTCGGCTATTTTCTTAATTTTCGGGGGTTCTTGTCGATTGGTGGGGCCTGAGGGGATTGGGGTGGACCCCCGAGGGGTCTGAGTGGGACGTTTTGGCGGCTGAGGGGCGAGAGGGGGGTTATGATCGATAGTATAAGCGTGCGCAGAAGGGAGTGGATGACCTGTGACCCAGTTTTTGCGAGTCTGGAGAGGATAAAATCCATATCGGCAGGTTGGTAGTTGAGTTTTAGGGGTCAGGTTAGGGGGTGAGGGGTGCAGGGAGGAGGGTGAGGGGTTTGGGGGAAGTGATGAGGTTTTTTTAAAGGAGTTTTGGAGTTTTTGGCGGCGCGAGGAGGGCTTGGGGATGGAGGGGTAGGAGTTTTCGGATTTAGGGAGACTTGAATTGCGGGCGGGAAATGGGGTGTTAAGGGGGGGGGGGTATTGAGAGCACGGGAGAGGGTGGCATGTTAGTTTTGTTGTTTAAAATGATAGTATTTTTAGGAAATAAATTGTTGGCGTTTGATTCAACAAATATTAGTTGGGTTTTAGGGGTCAGGTCGGCGGAGGGGGGCGTTTGAGGGGTGCAGGGGGAAGAGATGAGGTTTTTTAAGGGGTTTTGGAGTTTTTGGGGGTCAGAAGGGGATTTGCGATGGCGGGGCAGGGATTTTAGGATTTAGGGAGACTTGAATTGC